TTTGGATCCAGAGAGGGAGAGGGACTGTGGGCTGAAGACATGGGGGGTGGGGGTGGGGGTAGGGAGAAGTGTAGACGACGGGTTTCTAGGATATACCCTTTGGTAGGAAGATGATGCATGGTGGAGATTGGAACCATGGCAGTGAAATAATATACGATGGAATGAATGTAAAACTAAAGTTCTCTCATGTAAACTATCATATAATTCACAATGAAACATTAAAAAAGAAATAAGATTTATAGCTTTGGGAACCTTAGGGAGTTGAATGTGTAAGAATTACAGATAGGGACTTGAAGAAGGTGCTTCAGTGTAGAAAGATACATGGTATATTCTAGAGAGCACTGGGAATCATACTAATACTGTGTTTACTGTATACTCAACGAGCTGGCCAATGTGATCCTCACCTTAGTTTCCTTAGCTGGTTGGTGTTGTTAGGTGCCACGGAGTCAGTACCAACTCATAGCAACCCTATGCAGAACAGAATGAAACACTGCTTGGTCCTGAACCAACCTCATAATTGCTGCTACGCTTGAACCATTTGCTGTTGCCCACTGCCAATCCATCTTGTTGGGGGTTTTCCTCTTTTTTTCCGACTCCCTCCACTTTACCAAATATGTTATCCTTCTCCAGGGACTGGTCCCTCCTGACAATATATCCAAAGTCTGAAAGACAAAGTCTGGCCATTTGGGCTTCCAAGAAGCATTCTGTCTGTACTTCTTCCAACACAAATTTGTTTGTTCCTTTGGCAGTCGTATTTTCAGTATTCTCCTCCAGCACCATAACTTAAGTGTATCAGTTCTTCTACGATCTTCCTTACTCATTGCCCCACTTTCACATGCATATGTTGTTGTTGTTAGGTGCCATCAAGTTGGTACTGAATCTTAGCGACCTTATGCACAGCAGAACGAAACACTGCCCGATCCTGGGCCAGCCTCACTATTGTTGCCACGCTTGAGCCCATTGTTGCTGCCACTTTGCCAGTGTATCTCGCTGGGGGTCTTACTCTTTTCTCTGATCCTCCACCTTACCAAACATGATATCCTTCTCTAGCGACAGGTCCCTCCTGACAATATGTCTGAAGTATGAGAGATGAAGTTTGGCCCTCTTGGCCTCTAAGGAGCACTCTGGCTGCACTTCTTCCAACATAGATCTGTTGGTTCTTTTCGCAGCCCATGGCACTTTCAATATTTTCCTTCAACACCATAGCTCAAATGCATCAGTTCTACTGACTTCCTTATTTACTGTCCAGCTTTCACATGCATATGAGGTTATTGAAAATACCATGGCTTGGGTCAGGTGCACCTTAGTCTTCAAGCTGACATCTTTGCTCTTCTTCTTTAAAAAGGTCTTGCGCAGCAGATTTGCCTAATGCAATATGTCTGTCAGATTGTCAGTTTGTCATACTGTGGTGCTTGTGAGTTGCTGTGATTCTGAAAGCTATGCCACCGGTATTTTAAATACCAGCAGGGTCACTCATGGTGGACAGGTTTCAGATGAGCTTCAAGACGAAGACAGACTAGGAAGGAGTGATGAACTACTGAATATTTAGTCACTGAAAACCTTATGAAAAGCAGAGAAACATGCTTATGAGGTTATTAAAAATATTACGGGTTGGATCAGACACACGTTAGTCCTCAAACTGACATCTTTGCTCTTCGACATTTTAAAGAGGTCTTGTGCAGCAGATTTGCCTATGCAGTACATAGTTTTGCATGAGTGTGGATAGCTGAACAAAGTAAAATGAAGTCTTTGGCAAATTCAATCTTTTCTCTGTTTATCTTGATGTGTTTTTTTTGGTCCAGCGGTGAGGATTTTTGTTTTCTTTACATTAAGGTGCAATCCATACTGAAGGCTTTGATCTTCATCAGGAAGTGTATTAAGTCCTCTTCGCTTTCAGCCAGCTAGGTTGTATCATTTGCATATCGCACATTGTTAATGAGTTTTCCTCCAGTCCTGATGCCATGTTCTTCTTGATATAATCCACCTTCTCGGATTATGTGATCAGCATACAGATTGAAACAATACAGTACCCTGATATCTGTCAGCCCATGTCCTTGTCTGAATCCAGCTTGTACCTTTGGCAGATCTCTGTCATTGTACTGTTGCAGCTGCCAGTTAGCTGTCTTCCAGATTTCTTGGCCAAGATGAATGAGTACCTCCAGTGCTGTATCAGATGAAGTCCAGTTTCTCAGATGTGACCTCTGTCTGCCACCAGACTATAGCTCTCTTACTTCTTGCACCCCAACTCCAGCTGTACAGAACTGCCTGCCTCATGAGCACGTGTGGCTATTTCAGTCGCCATTCTTGTGCTCACCCTGCTTCCTTGGATTGTGTTATCCTCTCATCTGCCTTCCTTGACATCTACATTGCTTGGGACTCAGTTTAACTTTCTCTGTGAAGAGCCTCTCCTGACAATTTTGCCTGCCTTCAATGTTTGCCCCAGTGGACCCGACCCTGCCTCCCACCGATGCCCTCGTGTCCATTTGTCTCTACTAGACTATGTATCTCTTGAAGCCAGAATGTGTTTGCAGTGATCTCTGTGTCCTTAGCACTTAATTTGGTGCTTGTGGAACATTTGAATAAGTGAACTGTGCTGAGTCAGGAACTCATTCCTGTTGTGACAAGCATTTTTTAAGTAGAAATCATAGCCTGCTAAGGCTGAAAAAGTTACTGAGACCATCCTATAAAATATGCCCCCCACCCCCAGCTGCAAAGGGGCCACTGCAGTAAGCAGTGAAAGTATAGGCCACATCTGAGAGCCTGGGCTTCATGTGATAAGCTGGAGATGTTTGCATGTGGGTCCTTGCTAGTTAATCTTGTCACAGTTTCTGCCTGGATTTACCATTCTTGACTTAAAGGTACCATTCATTCATTCAACAAATCTTTATGGGCTGCTTCTTAAGTGCCAGGCACCGACGGAGGAGGTCTGGTTGTGCAAGGAGAATCAAAGCAGATGGAGATTCTGTTCTGAGCTTCAGCTGCCAGCTGCTGGATAACAGAGCTTGGTACTCTAAGTTCTTCATTAGATGGAGAGCAGTTTTGCTGTGTCCTGTTAGCGTTAGTGATTCTTCTGTGTTAAGCAGCAAATGACATTTTGGGGAGAGGAGAGCTTGTTATACACTGGATTGGTAGCTACAGCTTTCTTTTCTTAAACTCCATGCTGCTTTTCAAACCTCAGGTTGCCCAAGTCCGGCTTTTTCTATTTCAGTGCTTCTGTTTCTGCCATTCCATTACAGTTCATTATCCGTTTACTAAACTAGTTTCCTGTCATTACAGGTGCCGATTCGTTATTTATTAGGCATGTTATATGTTAATTTCAGTCCTCTCTGGGATCCTGTCATCGAGCTCATAAGGTAAGCATGGGCTAAGCGGATGAAGCTGTTTTGGTTTAAGTATTGTTGAATGATTGTGCTCCTAGGTGTGGAGTATTTATTTGTTGTTGTTGTTGTTGAGTACCCAAAATGATCTGTGGGAGGAGATGAAGAACAAGGTAAATGATTATTTTTCTTACTTGATATCACCACCACTTGTGTTAAGGTGGCTTTTCATGTAGTGTCTTGTGTGTTGCTGTGAAGCAACCAGCAGAGTCACCGTGGTGGACAATTTTCAGTGAAACTTCCACTCCAAGAGAGAGTAGGAAGAAGAAGGAAGCTGTCTACTTCTGAAAAATTAGCCTTTGAAAACCTGGTGAATAGCAGTGAAACGTTGTGTGACATAGTGCCAGAAGCTGAGCCCGGCACTCAGAATAGAGCTGCTCCCTCAAAGTAGAGTTGACTTTAATGATGTAAATGGAACAAAGCTTTCGGGATCTTCATTTGCTGGTAGGGCATGACTCAAAATGAGAAGAAAACTGTAAACATCATTAAGGAAAATGGTAGTCATTAAAAATGAGATGGAACGCATCAAAATAGATATACTAGGCATAATGAGCTGAAATGGACTGGGATTGTCGTTTTGAATCTGACGGTTCTGCTGGGTGTGGTGCTGAACCTCAAGGTCAGCGGAGCAGTCCAAGCTCACCAGCCGCTCCTCGGAAACCTTATTCAGGGTCGCTATGGGTCAGAATTGACTCAGTGGCACTTAACAACAACAGCAATGCTGGGAATGACAAATTGAAGAGCCATGGCATCCCATTCACAGTTAAGGTCTGTCTTGAAGTACAGCACTGTCAGTGATAAGATGATTTCCATACACCTACAATGAAAACCTTCCAACCTGTGGAGCTCATTTTCTGGCACTATATCTGACACTGTTTCTCTGCTATTCATGAGGTTTTCAGTGACTAAATATTCGGAAGTAGTTCATTACTCCTTCTTTCTAGTCTGTCTTTGTCTGGAAGCTGATCTGAAACCTATCCACCATGGTGACCCTGCTGGTATTTAAAGTATCAGTGGCATAGCTTTCAGAATCAGCAACTCACAAGCCACCACATTACAACAAACTGACAGATGAGTGGTGGTACAACCTTGCTTGCTGAAAGTGAAGAGGATTTAAAACATTTATTGATGAAGATCAAAGAGCATAGCCTTTGGTATGGATTACATCACAATGTAAAGAAAACAAAAATCCTCACCACTGGACCAATAAACAACATTCTTATCAACAGAGAAAAGATTGAAGTTGTCAAGAACTTCATTCTTCTTGGATCAATTAACACTCCGGAAGCAGCAGTCAAGAGATCAGACAACGTATTGCGTTAGGCAAATCTGCTGCACGAGACCATTTTAAAGTGTTGAAGAGCAAAGATGTCAGCTTGAGGACTAAGGTGCAACTGACCCAAGCCATGGTATTTTCAATAACTTCATATGCAGAGGAGCTCTGGTAGCGTAGTGGTTACAAATCAGGCTGCGAACCTTAAGGTCAGTGGTTCGAAACTTACCAGCCGCTCCACAGGAGAAAGATGAGGTGTTCTACTCCCGTAAAGATTTACACCCTCGGAAACCCTGTACAGGGTCGCTATGGGTCAGAACCGACTTGAAGGTACTTAACAACAACAACGACATATGCATGCGAAAGCTGGACAGTGAATAAGGAATACCGTAAAAGAATTGATGCTTTTGAGTTATGGTGTTGGAGGAGAATATTGAAAGTGCCATGGGCTGCCAAAAGAACCATTTCGGAAGAAGTGCAGCCAGAGTTCTCCTTGAAGGCCAAGATGGCCAAACTTCATCTCTCATGCTTTGGACATATTGTCAGGAGGGACCAGTCACTGGAGAAGGATATCATGTTTGGTAAGGTGGCGGGTTGGAGAAAAAGAGGAAGACCCCAACGAGATGGATTGGCCAAGTGACAGCATTGATGGACTCAAGTGTGGCAACGATAGTGAGGTTGACCCAGGAATGGACAATATTTCATTCTGCTGTGCCTAAAGTCGCTATGAGTAGGTCCTGACTCAGTAGCATCTAACAACAACAGCAATGAAAACCAGTTAATACAACTATTATGCAAATTTATTCACCAGTCGCTAATGACAAAGATGAAGAAATTAAAGATTTTTACCAACATCTGCAGTCCAAATTTGATCAGACATTCAATCAAGATGCATTGATAATTAATGATAATTGGAATGCAAACGAAGACAGCTACTTTAGTCAGCCCACTGAAAGAAATCCATATTGTGCCCATTTCAAAGAAAGGTGACCCAGCAGAGAGCGGGACCCTACTCAGAGAAGCAGTGATACCTGAAATGGAGGCAGAGATGATGAATTGGAGCGATGGAGCAGCTGGAGACTTTAGATCTAGAGAGGGAGAGCGACTGTGTGCTGAAGACCTAGGGGGTACAGGGGAAGGATTGCAGGGTATACCCTTTGGTTGGTTGATGATGCATGGAGGGGATTGTAACCATGGCAATGAGACGATATACGATAGAATGAATATAAAACTAATGTTCTCCCATGTAAACTATCACATAATTCACAATAAAACATTCAAGAAAAAAAAAGAAAGGTGACCCAACACAATATGGAAATTGACCAATATTATTAATATACAAGTAAAATTTTGTTGACAATAATCCAAAAATGGTTGTAGCAGTACATTGGACAGGGAGCTGCCCGAAATTCAAACAATTCAGAAGAGGATGTACAACAAAGGAAAACAGTGCTGCTATCAACTGGATCTTGGCTGAAAGTAGAGAATATCAGAAAGGTGTTTATCTGTATTTCATTGACTAGGCAGAGACATCTGACTATGTGGATCATAGCAAATTGAGGACAACATTGCAAAACATGGGAATTCTAGAACACTGAATTGTGCACCTGTGCAATAGACCAAGAGGTAGTTGTTTGAACCAAACAAAGGAATACTGAGTGGTTTAAAATCAGGAAGGGCATGCATCAGGTTGAATTCTTTCATCATACTTATTCAGTCTATATGCTTAGCAAATAATTTGAGAAGCTAGGTTGAAGAACCTGGCATCGATATTGGAGGTAGGCTCATTAACAGCCTGCATTATGTAGATAACACAACCTTGGTTGCTGAAATCAAAGAAGACTTGAAGCAGTTAACTGATGAAGTTCAAAGACCAAAACCTTCAGTATGGATTGTTTTTGTTAAGTGCCATTGAGTTGGTTCCAACCCATAGCGGCACTGTATAGGGGTTTCCAAGGAGCTGTTGAGGAATTTGAACCACGAAACTTGTAGTTCAAGCTGACCTTGTGGTCCAGTGCATTAACCCACAGCATCATACCAGTACTCCTCAATTAAAAAAAAAAAATCCTCATAACTGGACCAGTAGCCTTGGGCAAATCTGCTGCAAAAGGCTTCCTTGAAGCATTAAAGTGCAAAGATATCTTTTTGAGGACTGAGGTGTGCGTGACCCAAGCCATAGTATATTCAGCTGCCTCATATGCATATGCTAGATGAACAGTAAATAAGACTGAAGAAGCACTGGTTCTTTTGAATTTTGATTCTGTCAAAGAATATTGAATATACCATGAATTGTCTGAAGAATACATCTATCTTGGAAGTACAGCCAGAATTCTTCTTAGAAGGGAGAATGACAAGACTTCTCATACATGTTGTCAGAAGGCATCAGTCCCTGGAGAAGGACATCATGCTTGGTAAAGTGGATGGAGGATCAGTGAAAAAGAAGAAGACCCCTCTAACAAGATGGATTGACACAGTGGCTGCAGCATTGAACTCAAACGTAGCAATGATTGTGAGGTGCAGAACTGATGTTAGTGTTTCATTCTGTTGTACATGAGGTCGCTAGGAGGTAGAACCAACTCATCAGCAGCTAACAACAACTTAATATCTAGTTTTCCAGCAGTTCAAATATTGTATGCATTTTTCTTTAGAGCATTGAGAAGTTTTCCAGGACATTAGAAGGACTTTCCCTTTTACTTTATATGATATTCTATATTGTTGAATTTTTTATAGTAAGAAAGTATTTTGCTATAATTGGTTAATTTTTTTGCAACTTTTTATTATGAATTGAGTGAAGGTAAACAGACAAGATCATCAGCTTTACTTTCAAACAGTCATAGATTTTGTTTCACCTCAATGATTCCACTCCCCTCCCTATAACAACACTTATCTTGCTTCTACTCTGTGGCTTCCTTTTTACATCTTATTTTTCACAAATGAGCAAAGCAAAAATATTTGGTGTGTACTTACAAAAATATATATACTCCATTTAAATGTCCAAATGGCACATTTTGTAAGCCAGCCTCCTGCCCTCAGGCACACATCCTTTCTCAGTCCGTGGGCCTAGATGATTTTAATTACATATATTGAGTCATTGAGGCAAACTTTCATTTAAAAATCATGACCTTCAAAGAGTTCACAATAGAAAGGTCCTGGGTAGAGTGGGAGAAAAAGGTAGAACAAAACTTAAAATCATAAAGATCAAGGTTTCTGGTCTTGTAGAGGTTGGTGGAAGCCTTGAAATTGTACCTTTTAGTTACCTCTTTAAGCCTGAAACTGAACTCACCCCCATGGCTCAACTTTCAGCCGAACAATAGTCCTGTAAGGTGAATACTAACCACTGGAAGGTACACTCATTTTAGAATAAATCAACTAGAGGAGATCAAAAAGCAACATTTGCTAAGGATAAAGCTCAGAACGTAGGAAGGGACAGGCAAGTAGAATGAAATGAAGTAGGAAGCCTGCTGTTACATTGTGGGATTGCAATCAGTGGCACAAAACAAGATGTGTATAAATTGCTGTGTGAAAAGCAGTCTGCTCTTTAAGCTTTCACTAAAATCATGATGAGACACTATAAAAAATAACTTTTAGAATCCGTGCTTTTTAGTATAAAAATCCCTTAACTCTAACCTTAATAGTCATGTAGAAAATGCATATGAGAGGGCTTCAGAAGTTTGTGGGAAAATTCCGTTATCTTTTAATTCCATTTCCTATTGTGCTTATTAGAAGACAAAAGGAATCTTGACATGTGTGCTACCAATAGCCACTGTCAGAAATACTGGGTTTTCAATTACTGGATGTTTGTCATGGTTCACCAAAGCTACCTGAGTTATCTTTTTGATTGAGTGTTGATGTATTTTCCATGTGTAGTCCACAACATACAGTTCATGTCTTCTGTAAAGTTTATGCATATTCTTAGAAAATAACCCTCCACCCCAAAGTAATAATAATAAAAAAATTTGAGATAAAGTTGGTACTAGAGTATCAAATTAATATGAATGTTTTATATAATTCATCTCGTTTCTCTTATCCAAGTTCTAAAAGGCATATTTCATGCAGTTAGTGCTTCTTTTGCCTTATGTTAATGATAAATGTCTTTTCCGTGTGGTGAAGGGAAAACCAACGTATCAAAATTGGCCTTGAAGGAACTGATTACTCTGGCCAAACACGCTTTCTCCTTCCCTAATGGCTCATACCATGTACCTCTTACTCCTAGACCCAATCCCGTTTTTGTACCTTTAGTCTTTTATAGGAATCTACTTACATACTTATAAAATACCCTCCAGTCCTTTATGACTATAAAAATAATTTGTGCTCAGTCAGCGTAGAGATTTGAAACGTTTAACAAAGGTACCTGATTAGCTTTTCAGTTATATTATTTTCAGACTTTTTTTCCTATGAGATATCACAAAATAAGAACTATAACAGTTTCTTTTGGTGACTTTTTCTCTTAGTTCTCATGCCCACGAAATGGAAAATAAGCAATTCTGGAAAGTCTACTATGAGCATCTAGAGAAAGCAGCCATGCATGCCGGTATGTAATGGGGCCTAAGAGGGCTAGGAAGAAAAGTGGTTGTTGAAATGTCTCGGTTTTACAGATCAATTGCATATGAAATTTGGAAACAGAAATGAGAAGTGTATTGCCTTGGAAAACTTGAATTTAGTTTATTAATTGCTTCTTTATGGTACTAGAGAACAAAATGCTCTCTTTTGAGGAAACACAGAACAAATGATAACATTTCTCTGTGGTTACAGTGATTTTTATCTTGCAGAGAAAGAGCTACAGAGTGAGGAAACTTCTGAAGAGCAGTCTATTGGAGACGGAAGTTGGGAGCAGGCCCAAGAAGGAGATGTCGGAACTCTTTATCATAAAGAGTTAGCTTTGAGAACCGAGTGTCGGGAAAGACTGGATCATACCAACTTCCGATTTTTGCTTTGGCGAGCTCTGGCAAAATTCCCAGAGAGAGTAGAGCCACGGTCCAGGGAGCTTTCCCCACTTTTCTTGAGATTTATCAAGTAAGTTGTTCTGTCTCCTAGGATTATGTCCTTAATATGTGATGAGGATGAGAAGGTGAAAACCATTCACCTTTCAAATTTATAAGCTGTTCTGTTAAAATCTGTTGCGTTTTCTGTCAGATCGAAACTAAAGTACTTCTTTTCACTGCCTAATTTTACATGAAACCAAATGTCACCAGCCCATAAATGGTACTAATTAAAAAAATGAATGTTGTAAAATAAGAAAGGCCATATTAAAGCACATCAGTGTACAAAGGGCTTCTTATTTCTTGCCATGTTGTTCATTGTTTCATGATTACCTAGGGCCTAAGGATTTTTCCCAGTAGCCCAAGCCCAACCCCAGTAGCCTTCTTCTCCCTGCTTCAGGAGGGCACATGGCATTGTTAGAAGCCTCTAGGTGTTTCTCATGATGATGAGTAAAGTCTTTTCCAAGAATAACAAGAACTTTCTGGAGCATTGCTTTGTTCTGACTGGATATACTGTGTGAATCTGATTGCGTTAGAACCCTAAAAATGAGGTTTGTGGTATATAGAATAATATTAAACAAAAGTGTGAATTCCAAAAATATTTCTTTACATGGGAAAGTGCTATGGAGTTAACATTAAGCAGACTACAAACCATAACGTGCCTGGCTTGTTTAAGGAACAGCAAGGAGATCTGAGTGGCTGTCACAGAATGATCCAAGGAGAAGGTGGTTACAGATACGGTCAGAAAGTCATAGGAGACCAAATTGTGGAGGATCTTTAAATGATAATAAGTTCTTTGGCTTTTCCTTTCAGTGAGGGAGGAAGTCATTAGATAATTTAAGCAGAAGGATGAAATAACTTACAGTTTTCTTCTTCTGAAAACCCACCCAGTGGCTCCTGAGGAGAACTGCCGTCTACTCTTGTAAAGTTTGTAGCCTACACACACGGACTCACTGTTGAGTCAAAATTAACTCAGTGACACCTAACACAACAAGAAGTCTTTGGAAGTATTTTTCAACTGCTTTCTGGAGAGTAGACTACGGGATGGCAGTGGTGAAAGCGGAAAACCAGTTAAGAAGAGATTACAAAAACCTGGACAATAAATCATGATGGCCTGAAAAAAGATTATATTAATGGTGATTAGAGAAGGTTGGAGTCTGTATCTGTTTTGAAGGATTTCAATTAGATAAATTTTGAAGGGTCCTTCAAATAGATCAGCCTGCAGGATTTACTAACTAACCACATGTAGGGTGAGTTGGTGTTTGGGTGTGGGGTAGGAATCCAGACTGCCTAAAGTTTTGACCTGAGCTATTGGAAGAAGAGCATTACCAGTTAACAAGATGGTGAGAGATGTAGGAGTTGTACGTTTGTGAGGGAGGATCAAAGTTCATTTTCAAATGTGCTAAGTTGGGGATACTGACAGATATCCAAGTCGAGATGTGTGGTGGTGGGTGTTGTTAAGTGCTGTTAAGTCAGTTCCAACTCTATAGGGTTTCTGAGGACTGGCTGGTGGATTTGAAGTGCCAACCACGCGGTAAGCAACCCAGTGTTTATACTACAGCTCCACACCAGGATTCCCGAGATGTCCGGTAGGCAGTTGAATTAGGAGCTTAGAGTTCAAGGTGGGTATTTGGTCTGTAGATAATAAATTTGGGGTCATTAGCATAATTTGACAATATTTAAAATCATGAAATCAGGAGTGAAGTCACTTGGGATGTGAGTGTAACGAGAAGAATCATGTAATATTTAGTTGGGAAATGTGGAACCAGGAAAGACGGCCAAGATGAGTGATCAGAGCCATAGAATAAGATCCAAGACTGCTTGTAGTCCTAGAGATCAAGTGAAGAGAATATTTTAAGGAGGGAGTAGTCAGTTGCATCAAATGTATCTGAGAGGCCAAATAAGATAAAGAGTAAGAACTGTTGGCTTTGGAAGTAGATGTGGCCTTATCAAGAGTTGATTTGATTAGTCTGATAGGGATGAAAGCTGATCAAAGGACTCAAGAGAGAAGGGGAGGAAATGGAAACAAGTGAGGTTCATGCTTGTTGTGAAAAAGAAATAGAAAAATTAATATAGGTGAAGGAGATACTGGGACAGAACAGTGAGAACTATTGTTGGGCTTGTTTTTGGTTTTTTTAAGATTTATGCAACATGTGTGAATAATGTCAGGAAGTTGGGAATGATCCAGAAGAGGTTGGTGATACTAGAGAATAAGAATCAGATTGCTAGCACCCTGTCTTTGAGAAGGGAAGAGGAGACAAGATCCAGTACATAAGTGGAAAGTTTTGTATGAACAAAACTGTGCAAAGGTTTTTTTATCCTTAGGCTAAGAGGTAATCTATTTCTTTCTTTGGGACAAAGATGCTGGCAGGTCGGTAGATACAGTCGTGGGAGAAAAATGATTTTTTTCATTTTTCCATACTTCTCTGGGGGGTAATATTTTTATAAAATGAGAATAATGATATTTGGTCAAATAAAGTTTTGAAGGTCAAATAAAATAATGTCTAGCAGTCTTGTAAATTGCAGATATAAACTAGTACTAGTGGTGTAAGTAGAAGATGAACGTCTTTATTCTCCAGGTTCTATCCCAAAGAAATAAATAGATTACCTTTTAGCCTAAGGATAAAAATCTTACTCAATAGTGCAAGGTGCTGTGGGGGTAGGGATGGAGAAGGAGCCTGTAACAGGAAGTGGGTTCCTAAATTTAAGACATAAGAGACTAGTTGAGAATACATATTTAAAAATTAGTTGGTACTATCTGTAACTAATGCTTTTATAGATGATCCAAACTAGTAAAAATCCTAAACGTCACCTTCAATTCTTGCTTTGAAATATATTATTAATGGGCTTTTGATAGAGCATGGAGAGGACTAGGAATTTGTATTTCTAAATCAATTCATGTGAAATTAGAACTAGTTTATGGATCCCTTATAAGCATTCTCTGAGAAAAGCTAAACAGGAGCATAAATGAAATACTACGATGACAACAGTATTCCGACCGTCAGTGACATTTAATGAGCCTGCATACTTTGCATGATGATCTCATTTAATAAATGAATTAATATGTGCATGGAGATAGTTGTTGTTAAGTGTGGTTGAGTCTGTTCTGAGTCATAGAGACCCTGTATAGGGTTTCCAAGGAGTGGCTGGTGAGCTTGAACCGCCAACCTTGTGGCTCAAACCAACCTTGCAGTCCAGCTCATTAACCCACAGGACCACACCAGGACTCTGTGCATGGAGACAGAGTTTTAAAATATCAAATCTGATTGAGTTTTGAGCATGTAATAAAACTGCTATTGGATGGGTGGTGGCACAGTTTGTAGCTTGTGGAACTACGTAACTCATTTCATTCATTCATCTGTATCCTGCTAGTTGAGAATACAAAGTTAAAAACGATATTGTCTGTTCTCAAGTTGTGGTTTAGTTCAGTAACCTGGAATCTAGCCTTTATTAAAGGAGCCCTGGTAGAGTGGTGGGTTGTGTGATGGATTGCTAACTACAAGGCCAGCAGTTCGAGTTCAGCAGGTGCTCCTTGGGAGAAAGATGAAGCTTTCTGCTCCCATAAAGATTTACAGCCTCAGCATACAGCATTGCTATGAGTTGAGGGCACACAGCCAGCCAGCCTTTATTAACCTGGAGTTCTTTCAGGCACATGGTATTTTATCAGTGTGTCTTTGAGTTAGGACTTTTAAATCTGCTTGGTCAACCTCCTGACACATCTCCAGCCCACTGCCATGCTCACAATAGATAACAAATGAGTAATTGTTAAATGAACAAATGAAAGTGCCACGGTAGCAGTGAGCCAAAATCGAAGGGATGAAATGACGTGAATGCTGACTTAGTACTGGTTCAAGGGAAGCTAGTTTAGGAGAGACAAAATAGAATGGTAGCCCCATCTGCTATCAGCCTGTATCTCAGCCCTGAATTTTATGATAGTGCTATGTTTTTTAAATGGCCATTGGCCAAGTAGACTGTATCTGTGGAAAGTGACCAGCATGACCCTAACGGCTATCCAGGCAGCCTCTGGGTTATGAACAAGATCTGTTCCTAACTGTGGCTTTAAGTGGATAAGTTGGAGGAGGAGTATGCGGCTCTCGTTTAGCCTTACTTTAGTGCAAGAAAATTTCAGCCTTTCCAGTGATTTTAAAGCTCCACATAAGCAAGTGAAGGTGATTGGGTGAAGAATTGGTTTCTAGTAGGGGTTGGTTCAATCATTTCAAAGTAAGGGCATGTTAAAACGCAAGTAGGAGTTGCCTGTAAATTGTTCACAAGCTGGGGATTGCCTAATCCATCCCTAATTGAGGCTCTAGAGACAGGAAGACTGATTTCAGTTCAGTTCGAAATAGACTTCAAATATTTTCAGCAGTTTAAAACAGCAAATGGGATGTCTTCTGCACTGCAGTTGGTTGAGTGAGTGACTTGTCATGTAGGGTATAGAAGAGGGGCTGAATCAAAAAGAACAGTGTCATCTAAGAGTCTTGACTCCATTGTCTGATGATGTCTGCAGTGTCTGATTCTGTGATCCATGGACTTTCATAAACAGATCTAGGACATTTCAGGTGAACGTGCAGGCCTTCTGTCACATAGCGTTCTCTTTTTTCTTCCACTGCAGCAATGAATATTACCCAGCAGATCTGCAAGTGGCTCCAGCCCAGGATCTACAGAAAAAAGGCAAAAGGGTGACAGCAGAGGAAACGGAAGAGGAACCAGCTACCAGAGATGATGAAGAGTTGGAAGAAGAAGAAGAAACACCCCAAGACGAACCCACACAGAAAAAGAAGACAAGAAGAGCTGCAGCAAAGTAAGTTCAACACTGCTCAGCATTTGTGGATCCATAGTTCTAGGGAGAACAGGAGAGATGTCAGGTGATCTCAGTGTGAAATAGTCCTGTGCAGGAAGAGTGACACGGTGGTTATTTACAGTGGGTACTACATCTCTACGTCACCTGAGATAAAACTGCCCGCCATCTCTGAAGTGTTTGGGGTGGTTGGTTGGTCTTTTCTTTTGGCTAGTCACAGGCTGTTAGAATTGGAGGGCGTTTCTGTGGAAACCTGGACACTTAAATGGTCTTTGTGACCTTCGTCATTGACTTTCACAGTCCTGGGGCATTATGTTTGTGTGCTGGGAACACATAATGGAACATCTTTTCTCTTTTAAATAAACATGTCAGCACTTCTCTTCTGCCTTTTGACTTGTCTCCTTCTGGTTACTTCTCTGAGTTATTCATTTGCCTACATTGTCAGGAAAAGAAAAGAAACGATCTACTGTCAAAAGTTATGCTAACTCACTCGAAGATTGTCTGAATTGGGTGCAGTCTCAAAGACCCACTGGTTGGTAATACTGTGTCACTGGAACACTTTAGATCTCAATTTGATATGCCTATTTCTTAAGTATTTCCGTGAGCCATTTATTCATTCATCTACTCAGCAACTGTACTAAACACCTTTGTGCTAGATGCTAGGATGACAAAGATGAATTTTACACCCCGTGTGTGTTGTAGGAGTCGTAGCAATGCTATGAGAGAGATCGTTTTAAAGGAGTCAGGGGATCACATGGATTGTGGCTGAAACAATGGCCTTCAAGATCACAGGACTGGGTAATGCTTTGTTGTGTTATACCGAAGGCTGCCATGAGTTGGAGCCAACACAGCAGCACCTAATGACAACAAAGGGAGCACAGGGAAAAAATTACTTGAATCTGCTTTGAAAAAAATTTAGGAACGATCTCTAAGGTATAGAGCACCTTTGGAGCTGAAGGATGAGCGTTTACTAGGCAGTTGGATGGGGAAGGACTTTCCAGCTATTGGAAATGATGTGTGAAGTGCTCAGACAAGAAAGATTAAGGCCAAGTTCCTTGAAACTATAATTCCTTCTCTTCCTCTGCCTTCTGACAACTCTTAACATTCTGCCCTTCTACTTTGTCCATGTCAATGATTATTCTTCTCGTCTTTATATCTTCCAGTATAATTTCAAGCAAAACATTAGCCTTTAGTGCATGTTTGTAGAATAAATGAATAAGCCATTTATCCACTTGTCCCTTTTACTTTCCCACCTCTGGACCTTGACCGTGCCCCTCCCTCTTTCTGCAGTGTCCTTGCCTCATCTCTGAGAGGTGGAATTCTCGTCTTCCTGTGAGACACAGTTCCACAGCTGCTCCTTCGCTCTTCTAAAGTAGTACCCTCTTCTAATCCAACAGTTAACTTACCCAACTCCAGACTTTATAACAGCCAGGTATGGAGTGTAGGATAAGCACTAGGCTGCAAGGTCAGTGTGAACCACAAGGTCAGCAGTTCAAACCCACCAACCATACCTTGGAAACTCTATAGAGGGTCAGGATGAATAGCAACTGATTTGACGGCACTTAACAACACAAACCTCTAGCACATGGGGAGAACATGGTCAGCATTTCTCAAGCTGAAAGAACTGAAGGAAAAAATCCAAGTGTCGGGTTGCAGTATTGCACCTGACCCAAGCCATGGTATGTATTTTCAACCACCTCATGTGCAGTGAAGGGAGCTTTGGTAGCGTAGTGCTTACGAATCGGGCTGTGAACCTCAGGGTCAGCAGTTCGAAACTAACAGCTGCTCCGCGGGAAAAAGACGAGACTTTCTGCTCCCATAAAGGTTTACAGCCTCGGAAACCCTGTACAGGGTCGGTCGCTATGAGTCGGAACCGACTCCACGGCACGTAACAACAACAACAACATATGCGGTGAATAAGGAAGACCATAGAAGAATTGCTACATTTGAATTATGGTGTTGGCAAGGAATATTGAAAGCACCATGGTCTGCCAGAAGAGCAAACAAATCTGTCTTGGTAGAAGTGCAGCCAGAATCCTCCTTAGAAGTGAGGATGGTGAGTCTTTTCTTCTTGTACTTTGGACATGGTATCAGAAGGGACCAGTCCCTGAAGAAGGACATCATGCATGGTAAAGTGGAAGGTCACCAAAAGAGGACTACCCCCAATGAGATGGATTGATGCAGTGGCAGCAACAGTGGGCTCAGATGTACTTACTCTTGTGAGGCTGGTGCAGGACCGAGGAGTGCTTCATTCTGTTTTATATTGGCTCCCTGTGAGTCTTGGGGCTTGATCGCACCTAACAACAACAGCTTCTCATGAGCCTACTCCTTGCATTAAACATTAGTGTTTTATGTATATGTCTCTTGTCTAAATCATAAACTCTTTAAGGATAATACTTCAATCTTAATTTTTCTGTCCTTACGACTAAACCTAGAATTGTGTTAAAATATCCCTCACTGAAAATGTAAATATATTTATATCATCATGTATTTCTGGTGCCATCTCAATATACTAATAAGCAGAGATTAAAATCTTTTGTGGAACCAGCTCCTCATTGGGAGAGATTTATTGAAGGTGTGTAAATTAGGGCCAGTTCCATTTAGCAATTTAAATCCACACATCACAAATCCAGACTCATTGCTGTCAAGTCGAAGCCAATTCATACTGATCCTGTAGGACGATAGAACTGCCCCATAGAGTTGACAAGGTTGTGGCACTATTGAATAAGCATGTCAAACTCACCAGCTGCTCCTTGGAAACCTTATCACTATGAGTCAGAGCTTGACTCAGCGGCACTTAACGACGACATTAATGTGCTATGTATGAGCTTTGGTGGAGCCCAACATCAGTGTTCATGGTATGAAGACAAGACAAACTTATTGTACCACTTTTCTGTCACAGAGACTAATTTCAAAAGTTACCTTGGGAATGTATTGCTGTTTTGAGTACTCTGCTTTTGGTTTAATTTAAACCATCATAAGCACATCCTCTTCCTGCTCATCTGTCAGTTGATTGTACTCTCATAGTTTTGTGTGTTGCTGTGATGCTGGAACCTGTGCCATAAATATTTTAAATACCGGTATGGTCACCAGTGGTTGACAGGTTTGAGTAGAGCTTCTAGACAGACAAGGAAGAAGGAGATGCTGACCCCTTCTGAATGGATAGCCACTGAAAACCTTATGAGTAGCAGCCAAACACTGTCAGATATAGTGGAGGAAAATTAGACTCTCAGGTTGGAAGGCTCTCAAAATACGGCTGAAGGAAGAGGTTCCTCTCATGAGTAGAGTTGACTTTAAATGACGTGAATGGAGCAAGACTTTTGGGGCCTTCATTTGTTGATGCAGCACAACTCAGAATGGGAAGAAGCAACTGCAAATATCCATTAATCACAACATGGAATGTATGAAGTACAAATGTAGAAAAATTGAAAGTCAAAAATGAAATGGAATTTTGTCTGGTATTGATCAAACATGAGATCAAGATGCATTGATAATTATTGGTGATTGGAAAATGAAAGCTGGAAACAATGGCTGGGTCTGTGTTTGGAAAATATGACCTTGTTAGTAGAAAAGATCACATGGTAGGATTTTGTAAAACCAATGACTTCTTCGTTGCACATACCTTTTTTTCTACAACATAAAAGGTGAATGTACACATGGGCTTCACCAGATGGAATACACAGGAATCAAAATGACTTTATTTACAGGAAGAGAGATGGAGAAGCTCAAGATCATCAGCCAAAACAAGGCCTGGGGCCAACTTTGGGATAGACCATCAATTGCATGTCTGCGATTTGAGGCTGAAACTACAGAAAATTAAAACAAGTCCACAAGAACGAAACTATGACCATGAATATATCCCTGAATTTAGACAGCATCTCAAGAATAGTTTTGACACATTGAACAGTAGTGGCTGAAGAGCCGCTGAGTTTTGGGATGCCATTAAGAGTATCATACAGGAGGAAAACAAAAGATGATTAAGAAGACACGAAAGAAGGAAGGGACTAAAGTGGATGTCAGAAGAGACTCTGAAAACTTGATTTTGAGTGAAGAGATAAAGCAACCAGAAGAAATGAAGAAAGAACTGAACAGAAACTTTTATAGGGCAACTCTAGAAGATGAAGTGAAGTATTATAATGAAATGTTTAAAAATCTGGAATTAGAAAAACAAAAAGAGAGAACGTACTCAGTATTTCTCAAGCTGAAAGAACTGAAAAATTTCAAGCCTCAACTTGTGCTATTGAAAGATTCTATGGGGAATCCTGGTGTGGCACTGTGGGTTAATGCTCCAGACTGCAAAGCCATTTGAACTGCAAGGTCAGTGGTTCCAGCTCACCAGCTGCTCAGAAACGTTATACAGGGTCACTATGGGTCAGAACCAACTCGATAGCACTTAACAACAACAACCTGGGGAGTCCTGGTGTGGTGCTGTAGGATAAGCACTAAACTGCAAGGTCAAACTCATCAACTGCTCCTGAAAAACCCTATACAGAGTCTTTAGGAGTCAGAACTGACTCACTGGCACTTAACAACAATAGCAACAAGTGGGGAAAATCCTGAATAACGCAATAAGCATGTAAAGAAGATGGAAAGAACATACAGAGTCACGGTACCAAAAAGATTTGGTTGGTTGTCAACCATTTCAAGAGGTAGCATATGATCAAGAGCTCATGTTACTGAAGGAGGAAGTCCAGGCTTGCACTGGAGACATTGTCAAAAACAGGTCTTCAGTAACTGACAGAATATCGATTGAAGTGCTTCAACAAACTGATGTAGCACTGGAGAGTCTTCAGTTACAGAAAAAATTGGAAGAGATCCATATTTGTTCCCATTCCAGAGAAAGGTGACCACACAGAATGTGAAAATCATCTAACAGTATCATTAATGTCACATGCAAGTAAAATTTTGCTTAAGATATTTCAAAAACGGCCACAACAGTACATGACAGAGAATTGCCAGAAATTCAAAGTGGATTCAGAAGAGGACACAGAACTAGGAATTTTATTGCTGATGTCATATGGTTCTTGGCTGAAAGCAGAGTATACCAGAAAGATGTATACCTGTACTTTATTGACTATGCAAAAGCATTCTACTGTGTGAATCGTACAGTCTATGGACAACATTGCTAAGAACAATTCCAGAACACTTAATTGTGCTCATGAGGAACTTGTACATAGACCAAGAGGCAGTTGTTAGAACAATAGACGAGGATACTGAATGTTTTAAAATCAGGAAAGGTGTGCACCAGAATTGTTTCCTTTCACCATACTTATCCAATCTGTATGCTGCGCAGATAATCCAAGAAGCTGGATTATATGAATAAAAACATGGAATCAGGAAGAAGATTCATTAATAGTGTGTGATTTGCAGATGACACAATTTTGTTTGCTAGAAGTAAAGAGGACTTGAAATGTACTTACTGATGAAGATCAAAGACCAAAGCTTTCAGTATGGATTGCACCTCAATGTAAAGAAAACAAAAATCCTTAACAACTAAACTAATAAATGACATCATGATAAAAGGAGAAAAAATAGAAATTGTCAAAGACTTCATTTTGCTTCAATCTACAATCATCATTCAAGGATGCAGCAGTCAAGAAATTAAAGACGTATTACATTAGACAAATCTGCACCACAAGGTTTTTTAAAGCATTCAAGAGCAAAGATGTCACTTTTAGGACTAAGGTGTGCATGACCCAAACCCTTGCATCTTCAGTCACTTCATATGCAGGTGAAAGTTGGACAGCGAATAAGGAAGATTGTAGACAATTCATTGCATTTGAATTCTGGTGTTGGAGAAGAATATTGAAAGAATTTGAATCTGTGCATCATAAAATCTATGGATGACTTAAGAAAATGATGGATAATATTTTTCATGAACTGTCAGAAGAACACACAAATCTGTGTTGTAAGAAGTACAACCAGAAAGCTCGTTAGAAACGAAGTTGGTGAGTCATCATCTCCCGTTCCTTGAACATGTTTCCATGAGTGACCAGTCCCTGGCGAAGGACATCACAGTCAGTAAACTGGAGGGTCCGTGAAAATGAGGAAGACTCCCAATAAGATGTAATGACAGTAGCAGTTACGATGGGCTCAAACATAACAATTGTGAGGATGGCGCAGGACCAGACACTTTCATTACATTGTGCACAGGGTCACTATGAATTGGAACTGATTCAACGGCACCTAACAATAAGCACATTCTGAATCATTTTTCTGGAGGTAGATAATCTGCATTTCAGGGAGAGGTCTGCCAAGGTTTGGCATTTCTGGAGAACAATTTCCTAACTGCAAATCATTAAAACTTACTTGACTAGCTAGCTATGGAACTATAGTGAACATGTTTGGAGTACTTGCCAGAAATAATATAATTTGTGGGTAAAATCAGCTTATGAAAATAATCTCTAACCTTTAATTGTCTAACACCCTCTTTCTGTTTTGTTTTGGGTTGTTTTAGGCAGTTAATTGCTCATTTACAGGTTTTCTCTAAGTTTTCAAATCCACGGGCCTTATATCTGGAATCCAAATTATATGAGCTGTATCTTCAGGTAAGTCAAACAAATTCTTGGAGCTATAATTCTATGTGAAGTTTACTTTGTCATTTTCTTTGTGTATGTAACTTTCACGTTTCTAATAATCATGGGTTGAGTTTTATTTACTGCCTTTTATTATCAGTATCTATAAAATCTCTATGTCTTTGGAGGTTGCAAACATCACAAATGAACTTACAGATATATTTTAATATATACATATTTAAAATTACACGAAGCCATGCAAGTATTAGAGTTACAGGGACTTGAACAACTTGGCTTCCAATTAACCACAGGCACTTCTGTCTGCATGAAACAGAGAGCAAGCTCACACCAGAGCCCTGGTGTGGTGCAATAGGGTAAGCACTGGACTGTTAACCACAAGATCAGCAGTTAAAACCCACCAGCCACTCCTTGTAAACCCTATACAGGATCGTTATGAGTCCAAGCTTACTCGACAGTACTTAACAACAACATAGGCCTCGACTACAGTCTGGTCAGCATCAGTGTGGTAACAGTGAAGTCAGAGTAATAGCAGCTCTCAGGTGAATACACAGCTCAGTTGCCGTACGTTGTTGGTATTGAACATTGCCCTCCTTTTCTATCTGTTATGCCTCCCGACATAGGCTTCATTATAGACTAGACCATAGCCTTCTGTACACCAGTGATTTGAATAGTTATTCATAAAATTGGACATCTGTGACTGAACATCTGCAAGTGTTAACTTCAACAAATTACATGCTGCCGCACTGTATGTAGTACCAACAATAAGATGCAAACAGACAAGCCTTAAAAATCCACATGGTTATAAATTTGGTTCATTGTAACTCAAATACGTCTTGAGGCGATGACTACCTGTATAGCAAAGTATTAATTATTTCGCCCTCTTAGAAGTGCAGGATAGGTGAACACCTTTTCTGCCTTCATGGCGGATATAGGATTCCAGTGTCTACTCCATTGAGAAGATGTAGGAAGTTGGAATGATAGTCTTTGCAGTCACAGTGTGTGTATGACTTTGAACTCCAGAAAAGATCACAGAGAAAATTTATTGTTAGGAACAGAGTGAGCATTGGATGTCATTCCAGGCCACTTGGTGGAATAAAATGTTCATCTTCTGTTGGTTGTTTTAGATTAAACTTATGTCAATTTAGCAGATGGTGTGGTGCTGTGGGCTAATGCGTCAGACTGCAAAGTTGTTTGAACTGCAAGGTCAGTGGTTCAAGCTCACCAGCTGCTCTTTAGAAACTCTATACAGGGTGGCTGTGGGTCGGAATCAATTCGACGGCACTTAACAACAACAACAACAACAAAACTACGCCAGAACTCAAACTCTCAGTTGTTCATAAGAAACAAAGACCTGAACCTACCTCATTTGAGGATTTTCAGAACTAGGTCTTTTTTTCCTGGCAACCTGTTGGCTGCTTGTTACCTTCAAGTATTACAAGAGATTATCTTGATTCGTTGAAAGTATGTAAATGACCAGCTTTGTTGGTTTAAATCCAGATTCATGTAGAGATTTGGCCATGGCCAGTTCTGTTTAGGGGGAGATACAGACATCAGAGTGTTGCTTTCATTGGCTTCTTTGTGTATATTTTATTTACCCTTTCTTCTACCATGAAAATGGAAAGTTTGTTGTCAGATACCAGCTTTAACTTTTCTATAAATTTTAATTTGATGAGATCGAATTTAGCAAATAAAAGTCAGTTGCTATCCCATGTTATATGTTGATTTTTATTAAATTTAATAAATTATTAAAAATTAATTTTCATTAATTTTTCTGTAAAATACACTTAGTTGTTGCTACACCAAGATCAAACGGTACAGAAAATAACCTTGGATTGCATAATGACATATAAACACCCTCATATCCTTCCTTATAGGTAAGTTATTTAATGTTAAAGAAGTTTTCTTTCTTTGGCTGATTTTTATCTTTCTACATTGACAGGCCCTTGTAAAATAATTTTGTAAAAGCCTGGGAAATTTACCTCTTTACTAAAGTAACCCTAATGCTATTGTCAGGCAAGAAATGAAAACTGGAACTAGGTCTGTGTTAACACTGGTTCTCCATACATAATAAAGTAGAAAGGACACTTGTAGTTGAAAAATATGTATTGAGGAGGCTGTATCATTTTACTCTCCTTCTAATTACAATGCTGTAAAATTGTGGTTACTTAGGGAATCCTGATCATACTCTGAGAACTGAAGAAAATCTGTGTTCTTTGTTAAGTAGCTGAACTACTAAGTCAAATCACTTATAACCCCTTTTAACTTTTTAAAATTTGAAAGCCTGTCATTTTTATGCGCATTTTCCTTTATGGATGTCAATGAAAATATGAACTACTCTTTAAGACCTTATTTTATTTAAGCGTGTTATTCTGCTTTTGCATTTTGTAAATTGTGCTGTTGATTGCTCAATGAGTCTTGCTCTGTTCTGTGTTTAAAGGGAAAATTTGCTAAGATTGCTTGAAGACAGAAGCTTTAAGGAAGAAATTGTGCATTTTAGCATTTCGGAAGATAGTACAGTAGTGAAATCAGCCCACCGAGCAGATCTTTTCCCTATTCTAATGAGGTATTTAAGTTTTACTGTTCAGTAATGGTAAAAGTAATGTATTCCAGTTTCTAAATATCATGTGACATTTAATCTTAACACTTTATAACACAAAAATGATCCACAAATTATCTAAAGATCTTATTTCTTAGATATAAGGAAGAATACAAAGATGATCAAAATTTCCTGTTATCAAAAATTTGGAGAACGACTCTATGAATTTTGAGTGTTAAATTAACAACTTTTATCATGTTTAGAAAATAGCTTATATTATTAGGTTACTTGGAATTTTATCAAGAATTGATGTTGAATTTTATGAAAGTTTGTCTAATAAGGTTGTATTAATATAGTGGTGGTGGTGGTGGTAATGTGCCGTGGAGTCTCATAGCGACCCTATACAGGGTTTTCGAAGCTGTAAATCTTTATGGGAACAAAAAGCCTCATCTTTCTCCCGTGGGACAGCTGGTAGTTTAGAACTGCTGACCCTGAGGTTAGCAGCCCGATTCGTAACCACTAAGCTACCAGAGCCCCTTTATTAACGTGGTGGTTGTTAAGTGTCGTCGAGTCAGTTCTGACTCATAGTCACCTTGTACAGGGTTTCTGAGGAGGGTCTGGTGAGTTTGAACTGCTGACTTTGGGATTAGCATTCCAGTACTGATTCTACAGTGCCACATCAGGACTCCACTGAAGTGGCTGTATATGCTTTTTTGTCTATGACTGTTGATCTATATTATTAATCTATATTAATTAGATTTTAATAATGCATCTCTTGAATTCCTGTAATAACCCTTATTGATGTTAGTATTCTTTTCATACACAGCTGGATACTATATTTAGAAATGCTGTGTTGTATGTTTATAGGTAAGATTAGTGTGTAGCTTTATTTTTATTCATTGATTTGTTTCAGTATCATCATCATTCCAGCTTTATAAATAAGAAAGGATAGTTTCCTTTTTTCTCTCTATTAAGGTGCTGAATGATAAGTATTGGACTGGTAACTGCAAGGTTGGAGGTTCAAATCCCAGAAGCTGCTTCTTAGGAACCCTATGCAGGGTTGCTATAAGTTGGAACCAACTTGATGGCACTTAACAACAACATAAAACTTTACAGCATGGAAATTATGTTTTCCTTCAAAGTTTAAAGAATTCACCAGTAAGACTCTGGTGTGGTGGTGTGGGATCAACACTGGACTGTGAAACACAAGGTCAGCTGTTCAAATCCACCAGCCACTCCTTGGAAAACCTGTACAGGGTCACTTTGAGTTGGAACTGACTCTATGGCACTTAACAACGAAAGACTGTATGAGCTCATCTCCTGTTACTATTGGTCTACCCAAGTTTTCTTTTTATATTCTGTTTGCTAATTTATATTTGTTCTTTCTAGAAAAATTATCCATTTAACTCATGTCTTTTCCTTTTTACTTGATTTTTATTTCTTTTTCGTTGTTTTTGGTCTGTAGTTGTATGTTTGTTTTTCATGTCCTTGTAATTGTTATGTCCATATTTTTCTTTACCCTTGGTTAGACTAACCGTTGACCTGTGTGTACTTTATTGATTTTTTACCCCTCACACAAAGAATAACCTTCTGTCTTGATCAGTTCCCATTTTTGTTTGTTTGTTTCAGAAGTATTGGTTTCTGGCCATTGTCTTTTCTATTTCTGTTTTATCTCCTATATCTCTTACCTTTGTTTTATTGTTACTTTTCTGGCATCCTAGGTTAAATCCTATTTTCTTCCTTGTTGTTTTATAATGAATCCATTGTTTAGTTTCAATTCTTGCCTTTTGGAAAAAAAGCAAAGAACTAATACTGTGTTGTAGAATTAATGTGCAAACGCGTAATGAATGCTCTGCTGACTTTGTAGAATTTTGTATGGTCGGATGAAGAACAAGACTGGGACTAAAACTCAGGGGAAATCTGCTTCCGGCACCCGTATGTCCATTGTGCTGAGGTTCCTTGCTGGCACTCAGCCTGAGGAGATCCAGATATTCTTAGACCTGCTGTTTGAACCTGTGAAGCACTTCAAGGATGGTAACTATCACCTTTCACCCACATTTGAGTAGTCCTTGTTTGCTATAGGCCTCTTACGTCTCTGATTAAGTGCCCATGCTCCTGACGTCTTTGTAAGAGAGTTGCTCCGCCTAACCTCAGTGGTGACCTTGCCATTGCAGCACACATCATTGACTGTTGGGTGAAATTGGGTGAAGCTCACAAATTACCTGAGGGCTCTCAGCCTCTGTGCATTACTAAGGCCCTGACTAGAAAATGTGTCCTTTTTATCATACATTTGGGCTATTTGAAAAATGAATACTTATCCATATACAAGCAAAGATTTCTTAAAGGAAATTTCAAGCATACTGCAAAATTCATCTTATTTGTTTGGGTATTTGTCCATTCACTGAGTCATTCATTTATTAAATAATGACCTTTTGCATGCCCTAGATACTCTGCTAAATTGAAAGTAGAAAAATAAGCAATTATCCTTTACCCTAAAAACCTTACAATCTCAACGTGGTTTAAATGGTATATACAATGAGCTCTAACGACCTCTGGTAGTATAGTGGTTAGGAGTTGGGCTGCTAACCTCAAGGTCAGCAGTTTGAAACTACCAGCTGTTCTGTGGGAGAAAGATGAGACTTTCTGCTCCCGTAAAGGTTTACAGCCTCGGAAACCGTGGGGTCTCTAAGAGTGGGATCTGACTCCACAGCACACCACCACCACAATGAGCTCTAATGCTAGATGGTATGTACTATGTTATGCAGTGTTACTAATTAATATTGACTAACATTTATGGCCACGCCTGGTTTGCTAGTTTGTCACACTGTGGTGTCTTTCATGGCACTGTGAAAGCTATGCCAGTGACAGTTCCAGTACCGGCAGGGACACCCATGGTGGAAAGTTCAGTGTTGCTTCCAGACTAAGACAGCTGGGAACTGCCTAGTAACCTACTGAGAACGGTATGATTAACAGCCCACAGATGAGTCCCTCAAGTTGAAATGCACTCAAAAAATGACTGGGGAACTTCTCCTCTACCAAGTAAAGCTGACTTTAATGATGTGGATGGAGTAAAGCTTTCAGAATTTTCATTTGTTGATGTGACATGACATGAGAAAAAAAACTATAAACATCCTTAATAATTTGAATGTGGAATATACAAAGTATGAAACTAGGAAAATTGTAAATTACCAAAAGTGAAATGGACTGCTGGAAGATCATTGTTGTAAGCATTCATGAGCTGAAATAGACTGATACTAGCCATTTTGAATTAGACCATCTGCAGGTTATATGCTGGAATACAAGGTCAGTTTGAACCACAAGGTTGAAAGTTCAAGATCACCAGCTGCTCCTTAGAAACCCTATACAGGGTCACTATGAGTTGGAACTGACTCAAAAGCACGCAACAACAGATGGTGTGCCATGCTGTGAACAGTACATTAAACATCTTTCCTGAAGTACAACATTAACAGTGATGTTGTTGTTTGGTGCCATTGAGTCAGTACCAACTCATAGCTACCTTATGCACCACAGAACAAAACACTGCCGGATTCTGGACCACCTCACTATTGCCATGCTTGAGCCCATCGATGCTACCACTTGGCCAGTCCATCTCCACTCTGGTCCTCTGTGGCCATGTCACTGCCTCTGAACCCAGGAGTTCCCAGGTCTTGCTGTACCATCCAGGTCTCCACCTGGGTTCAGAGGGGTCTATTGAATGTGGTCGGACTTAGCTCACAACTTCATTGCTATTTTTTTTCCCCTCTTCTCCTTATCGGTGATCAGCGTGGTCACCAGCCAGACCACCTGCCTTCTCATGTAATTCCCCTTGAGTCTCAGTCTTGGAAGGGAGTTTGCTCTGATGGTGAAACTTGCTCTTAAATGTAGAGTAGTTAAAGTGAATGGAAGAAATGATGAAGTGAAAGAACGAACAGAAGATTTCAAAGAACAGCTCAAGAAGATAAAGTATTAAAATGAAATATGCCAAGATATAAAGTTAGAAAACCAAAAGGGAAGAATAACTCAGCATTTCTCAAGATAAAATAACTGAAGAATAAACTCAAGCCTAGGTTTTCCATATTAAAAGAATCTATGGGCAAAATGGAATCCTGGGGTGTGGCACTGTAGGATAAGTACTGAACTACAAAGTTCCTTTGAACCACAAGGTTAGCAGTTCAAACTTACCAGCCATTGTGTAGAAACTCTATACAGGGTTGCTGTGAGTTGGAATGAATTCGATGGCACTTAACAACAACATGGGCAAAATGGAGTCCTGGTGTAGTTGCTGTAGGGCTGCTAACCACAAGGTTGGTGGTTCAAATCCATGTGCCGCTCTTTAGAAACCCTATGTAGGGTCACTGTAAGTCAGAACTGATTCGAGGATACTTAACAACAAGAACATGCATATGATATGGGGAGCATCATAAGAAGATGGAAAAAATACTCAGAATCACTGTACTATAAAGAACTGGCTGATGCTCAACCTTTTCATGAGGTAACATATGATCAAGAATTGATGGTATTGATGGAAGAAGTCTAAGCTGCACTGAAGGCATTGGTATAAAAGGAGACTCCAGAGATGTGTCAACAAATTAATGAAATGCTGCAAACAGTTATCTGTGCCAAGAAATTCAAATCTGTACACTTCTTGCCCTTTCCAAAGAAAGGTAATCCAATGGAGTACCGATATTATCAAATAATACAATTACTATCACACACAAGTAAAAGTTTGCTGAAGATAATTTTAAAATGTTTGCAAGAGTATATCAACAAGGAACTGCCAAAAATTCAAGGCAGATTCTGAAGGGACATGGATCAAGGAATATCATTACTGATATCATATTCATCTTAATTGAAATCAGAGAATACCAGAGAGATCTTTTCCTATGTTTTTCATGACCACATAATCAAGACATTGTGGCTCATGACAAAGGATAGGAATTCTAGAACACTTAATTTTGCTCACACAAAGCCTGTACATAGACCATTTATTCAAATAGAACAAGGGGATGCTGCTTGGTTTAAAATAAGGGACGTTGCACTCACCATACTGATTCAGTACGTTTGTTGAGCACATAATACTAGAAGCTGGACTATATGAGGTACTACACAGCATCAGTATTGAAGGAAGACTCATGAAGAATCTGTCATGTGTAAATGACACAACTTTAATTGCTGAAAATGAAGTGGTCTTGAAATATTTACTAATGAAGATCAAAGACTATAGCCTTCAATATGAATTACACCCCAATGTAAACTCCAAGTGGACCAGTAAACACTGTCTTGGTAAATGGAGAAAAGATTGAAGCTGTCAAGGATTTCATTTTACTTGGGTCCATTATCAATGTCCATGATAGCAGCAGTGAAAAAAATCAAATAACATTTTGCATTGAGCAAATCTGCTACAAAAGACCTTGCAAGTGTTGAAAAGCACTGATGTTACTTTGAGGATTAAGGTCCACCCGATCTGAGCCAAGGTGTTTTCAGTCCCTTCAACTGCATCTAAAAGCTAAACACTGACTACGGAAAACGAAGGAAGAACTAATGCCTTTTAATTACGGTGTTGACTAAGAATATCTGTCTTAAAAGAAGTTACAGCCCTAATGCAGCTAGGATGGAGAGACTTTGTCTCAACTACTTTGGACATGTTATCAGGAGGGAGCAGTTCCTGGAGAAGAACATCATACTTGGTAAATTTTCGGCAAAAAAGAGAAAGCCTTTCAACAAGATGGATTGACACAGTTTTGCAAGAATGGGTTCAGATGCAGCTGTGAGCATCGTGCAGGGCCAGGCATTCCTTCGTTCTGGTATACATAAGGTCAATCCAGGACACTTCACAGTTAACATTTATTGGGTGTTCCCTTTGTGCCACGCACTATAATGGACTCTTTCACATACAACTCAGTTGATCCTCAGTCATATGTGATTCCTCACTGAATTACTCAGTTTAAGTAATGCTCAAACTGAAACACGGACGCATCAGTTTCTTGGTAACTTAGCAGGAGAGGAGTCCTGTTGGCACATTGTGTGAAGTCCTCAGCTGCTAAACAGAAAGTTGGTGGTTCTAACCCATGAGCCACTTCACAGGAGAAACCTAATGATCCACTCCATTAAAGATTGCAGCCTAGGAAACTCTACAGGCAGTTCTACTCTGCCATATAGGCTCAATATGAGTCAGAATTAACTTGATATAACGTAGGACAAGTCATCAAGAAAGTGGTGGAACTTTTCTTGAAACCACATCTTTCTGACTGTAAATCTATGTCAATCCTATAAGTGTTTGTCTTTAGACAAACTTAGATTTTTATTTACAGGGTATTATTATTGCACTTGTCTTGTGTTTTGCTGTGATCATGGTTGCAGCTGCTGGATAGGTTTTCATTTGATGTAATATCATGCTGTGAAGGCAGATGGTGCTGATGAATACAAACGTTTTTGTTGGAGGAGAGTTGGAGGTAGAGATAAATGATGGACCATGTAGATGAATGGACCATTCTGGGGGTACCATTTAAATCTGAATTAGTAAGTTCATGATCTGTTGCCATATGGTTTGAATTAAAGCTCAAGGACTAACAAGTCAAGTCTTTAAATTATGAAATCGATGTGGCTGTTTCTAAGGGAGTGTTGTTTTCTCTATTCACCATTGGGCTACAATAGAAACATTTGATTCTCAGCCTTCAGGGAGCTTATAATGTGGCAAGACCTTATCTGTGAAACTGCTAGCCTTAAGACAGCTCTGTGGGAGATGAGAGGGAGAAAACTATGTGGAAAGTTGCCATATGGAATGAAAGACTGCTAGTAACTCACATTTTGAGAGTGACTAGGATGAAAATTGAGTTTAGAGCCTTCATTTGTCACACATTTTCTCCCTTTATTCCTCAGTTTGTTTATTTATAAAGTGACTAGAGCAAAACCTGCCTTACCCAGCTCACTGAGTATTTGGTAAGAATCAAAAGGCAATAATAAATGAGGCAAGGACATGGTCCTAGAGAAAGCATATAAACAGTAAGTGCTGTGTTACTGAAGGACATGGTCCTAGAGAAAGCATATAAACAGTAAATGCTGTGTTACTGAAGTACATGGTCCTAGAGAAAGCATATAAACAGCAAATGCTGTGTTACTGAAGGGAAATTGAGAGGAATCTATTTACAAATGGTAACTGGCTACTATTTCTCTTTCTGTGATATATGTATTGTTTTTTGTTTATTTTTTTAACCAGGAGAGTGCCACTCTGCAGTCATCCAAGCAGTGAAAGATTTGGATTTGTCTAAAGTTCTTCCTTTGGGTCGGCAGCATGGTATCTTAAACAGCCTTGAAATCGTGCTGAAGAACATCAGTCATCTGATCAGTGCATACTTACCAAAGATTTTGCAGATACTGCTTTGTATGACAGCCACCGTGTCCCACATACTTGACCAACGGGAAAAGGTGAGCATCTCACTGTGGACGCTTTCTTAGGCAGTTATGAGTTATGTTTCACTTGGGAATTTGCTTGATGGCTGAATTACTAACACACTTCCAGGTTAAATAAATGACAAACAAATCCCTCGTGACCCTAGATACGGTTTCAGAGACTGTGCATCTTTAAACAGCCTCATCTTTTTCCCTTGGTGTGGCTAGAGGGTTTGAACCATCACCAGCTGCTCCTCGGAAACCCTATACAGGCTCACTATCTGTTGGAACCGACTCAGCAGCACTCAACAACAACCCTCATCCTTGTTATTTTGAGATAGAGTTACCTGGAGCTCTTTTAAGGGTAAATGGTTTCCTACTGTGAATGCAAAGCTGTGAAGAAAGATAAGTAGAAAGATTAGGCAGCATAAGCCAGCTGGGAAGTCATTTCAGAAGGTGTGGGATGCAGGAAATATCTCTTCAATCTTGTAAAAACAATGATTTTTGTGTTGTATTGACACATGGGGTGTGTGCATAAGTATACTCTTTGAAGTTTAGGAGAATTTACCACCTTATCGACTGAAGGCTTCTTAGAGAAAGTGGGGCTTGAAGTAAAGATCCGGGTTCTTTATTTCTGCCAATGACTCACTTTATGACAAACAGGCGCAGTTTGAATTGGGTAAAAATTCATTGCATTTGATTTATGGATGCATCCGTTGATCTGTCTCTGAAATCTGGTCAGTTTGCATATAAATTGGCAGCCAAACCGAAGCCAGGAGAAAGGTATGGCTCAGCTCATCTGTCTCCTCTTTCAGGATCCACTGTCCTCTGCAGCAGCCTGATGTATAGCCTCTGAAAATGACTCTTGCATATGCATTGCTCAGTTTTGTACTTTAGAGAGGTGGACAAATCCGATCCCTGTTATTCCACCTTGATGGAAACAGGAAAGCTGCCCTAAAGGAGCAGGCAGAACAGTCCTCAGACTAATTCAAGGCTGAGATTGAGATAGTTCATGTTTGCAACTGTCAAAGTAGAAACCTTGGAACATTGGGAACCACACTCAGAAGAGTATAGCCTCAGTAGACAAGGGGAAATAAACTACGGTTGTCCGAGTAGAGCTGTGTTCTTTAGGGTTTTCATTGGTGGTTTTGGAGGGAGATCGCCAGGACTTTCTTCTGAGGAACTTCTGAGTGACCTAGAACTGCCATGCTTTTGGTTAACAACCAGGTACATTATCCATTTGCACCACTCAGGGTCTCCATTGCCTCTGTTGTTGTTAAGTGCTGTTGAGTCAGTTCCGACTCCTGATGACTCTGTAGTGTTTCTGAAGAGCGGCTGGTGAGCTTGTGAGTCAAACTGAGCTTGCAATGGAGTGCTTACCCTACAGCGCCACACTAGGACTCCATAGGAAATACCTTCTTGTTGCAGTTAAGTGCCGTCGAGTTGATTCCGACTCACGGTGGCTGGTAGATTTGAACCACTGAACTCTCTCAGCCATGTTTATCCAATATCAGGACGCCATTGCCTCAGTTGTTGTTAAGTGCTGCCGAGCTGGTTCCAACTCAGCAACCCTGTATAGGGTTTCTGAGGAGCCTTTGGTGATTTTGAACTGCCGACCTGCATTTCAAACCACCCCTACAGTCCAATCCTATAGTGCCACACCAGGTCTCCATTGCCTTGTGGAGACCAAATTTGCCCTAGAATAAAAACTGCTCTGATTCTACTTTTTGAAGTTTAAAATAAGTTTTCAGTGATTTACATGAATACCAAAGTTAACGATGGCTGGCATCCAGTCAGATATTACCAACCATGTGAAAAAAGAACAGATAAACTAAAATAAATAAATAAATAAATAAATAGAAGCAGCAGACCCATAAATAGCACAGATTAGCCAAGATATTAAAAAAAAAAAGTATAAATCTGCTCAAGAAAGTGGAGGAAACCAAAAGCAGAGCGGCATCAAATAGGTAAATATGTAACATCAAACAAGCTCATGTGGCCCCGATGGAGGTAGACTGGTGAACCTTCACCAGGTTGATTGAGGTCTCTTCTCAGGAGGCGGTGTTTGAGCTTACGTCTGCCGTCTGAATTGTTGGTTTACCTGGCAGTTACTCTGTGATGCAGGCTTGTCTCCCCATCAGTAATCAGTGACTCAGAAGATGATTTATATAATTACACAGTTCATTAGTGAGATATTAAGCTCAGTGACAGATAAGAACTTTTTATTGTAATTCTTGAGTAAAGTTTATGGAATTCCTTGAGGCGCTGTCACGACTCGTATAATAATACTGCTCAAGTGAGTTCAAGTTCTAAGTTTACATGTTTGAACAAAGCGATACATGTACTGTATTATCTTTCGTATCTTTCAGGACATTGGCTGACCCTGAAACTTTATTGTGAAGGTTGTGGCTGGGGTTTTTGTTGTTGGGTGTGTTTGGGGGTTTAACAACAACAAGCAAGACAAAGCAGCCCTGGTGGCACAGTGTTGAAAGCATTTAGTTGTTAACTGAAAGGTTGGCAGTTTGAACCCACCGGCTGCTCCACAGGACGGGAAAAAGGTGTGACTTACCAATTCCATAAAAATGATAGCCTTGCAAACCCTGTGGGGCAGTTCTACTCATTCCCGTGAGCTGCAGGCTACACAATGGTATCAGTTTGGGCTTTTTGGGGTTTTGAACGAGGTACCTTGGGTATATTTACAAAAGGTAGCTCCTCTAGAATTTAGCGTTTTCTTAAATTGCACATTTTCAAAGATTTTCTCCAGCTCACTCAACAGTTGTAAACTGAGCTGCTGGCACTGTGATATAAAAATGAGTAAGATGATTAGATCCTACCAGAATGGAGCTTGCATTGGTGGGGCCAGCGTGGGGTGAGTCTTATGTGCTGGTGTGCTTTGTAATGTTCATTTGTTTTCAGGGTTCACAACACCATGTCTCCAGATACCAGAGACAGTGTTTCTCTTTCCCCAATGGTGATACAGTTAATGATGCAATGTTGCCAGTAGAATGAAAGCAAACAGAATGACTTGCAACGATGCCGCTTTCTCATGCTGGCCTGTCATCTCTTCTCTTCCTGCAACTTGTAGAATGAGATAATTAGCTAAAAAGTGGGTGGTCAGAATGTGATGGGAAGATGAGAGAACATGATTCCTCAGGCTGCCACCAAGATTGGTGTTTGTTCTGTTTCTTAATGTTCGGTTTCAGATTCTAATACTCTTTTTTATCAGGGTTATCAGAGTTTTATGGCAAATAACTTCCACTGAAGTCCTACTAGTTTTCATTATGGCCTCTTTGACTGTGAGCGTTATTTACTGTATTCGAGTGTTTGTGTTGTCTTTGTGAATGTCAAGGAGGCTTTTAGATTTTAATACAGTTAATAAAAGTCATGTGTAAAAGTTAAGTTGCCAAGTATATTAATCAGAGGGAGAGAGAACTGGAGGCGGGATCGTCCCTCCTTTTGTTTGTTTATTTTTTGCAGTATTCTGTGCTGAGAGAAATGTTTCTGAGGCCGTTATTTTCCCCTCTGCTAGTCCTAAACCTCTGCATCTTTAAGATCCTATGGAAGTTGTGCCTCTTCTTTGAAGCTTTACCCTCTCAAATTTATAGTAATCTCGCCCCTTATTGGCTAGCTTTGACACTTTGAATCAATCACATAATTTGAATACATTTTCCTTCAGTTATGTCTAAAGTTGAGGTCAGGACCAAGACGTTGAACCCACTGGTGGGGTGTCAATGAATGATTCTGCTCTGAATCTGAACATCATGACAATATACTTGTGATTTTATAATTCATGGGAGAGGGGAGGCCTGGAGAATTGACAGTACTCCTCATTAAGGAAAACAAAGTGTGCTGCTAATTCACACAGTCCGTATTCTTCCTTTAATTTACAGCTATAACTTGTCCCCACTTTTGAATGAGTTCCTTTCCATAGTTTGTGTTTACGTTGAATTTGTACATAAGTCAGAACAGTTTGTTAGGTTCAGTTATATCTTGGTGGTGATGGAGGTTATGTGCCGTGGAGTCGATTCCGACTCATAGCAACCCTGTACAGGGTTTCTGAGGCTATAAATCTTTACGGGAGCAGAAAGCCTTATCTTTCTCCCACGAAACAGCTGGTAGTTTCGAACTGCTGAGCTTGCAGTTCACAGCCTGATTCGTCACCACTATACACTATATCTTAGTGTCAGGCATATGTTTGTCTTCTTGTTGTTGTTAAGTGCCGTCGAGTTGGTTCTGGATCACAGCGACCCCATGTAGAGTTTCCAGGGAATGACTGATAAGTTTTAACATAGTATATCTCACTATGCACAAAAAGAATTAAGGAAATACATCCAGATACACTAAAACACCTTTAACTACATTATACAGTAATAATTTTAGATGCTGGTCATAAATAGCACTGATGTTTTGATGCTGGTTTGTTATTTCAAACCATTTTATGTACCCTTAGTTTTTAATGAGTTTTACAAGAGTTGCTTCATAACTATGGTTGGGAGTCAGACGTTTATAACCCAGGAACTGCCTGTATGTATGTTGAGATCTTCCTGTGCCTTAAGTAAATCTGTTCTTTAACTGGAGGCCTGGTGTAGCGCTGCAGGATAATACACTGGACTGCAAGGTTGGTTTGAAGTACAAGGTTGGTAGTTCAAGCTCAACAGCCACTCCCTGGAAACCCCATACAGTGTTACTATGAGTTGGAATAATTATGATGTAGAATTGGCTCGATGGTAGTGGATTTGGTTTTTGGTTAATTCTTTGAGCTATGCATATAACGTCTGCTATTCCTAATAAATTGTTTAGTGTCCTAGACTAATTTCAACAAGAGTAGTTTAAAAATAATTTTTTTTAAAGCCTGAATGTATGTATATTGTTGGTGTTAAGTACCGCCAAGTCGGTTTGAACCCATAGCGACCTTGTATAGGGTTTTCAAGGAGCACCTGGTGAGCTTGAACCGCCAGCCTTCTTACAGTCCAGTGCATTAACCCTCAGCACCACCCCGGACTCTATATGTGTATATTATATGTGTGTGTATGTGTGTATATATATATATATATATATAGACAGAAATAAAAGGGAGTTTCATTTTAAATGAAGGCTGTGTGTATGTGTCTAATCTGAGGCATTTTGTGATGGTATAAAGTTGGTTTTGAGTAAAATATTCTGTTCATGGGGGGGGCGGTCAGGATTTTATTAGAGACCATTATTTGAATAAAATGTGTGGATATAGAAGTGCTCCTCTAGCTGTGGTTTAGCATTTTCCTCAGGGCATTCTAGTGTGGTTTTACTGGCCACCAATAATGGTATACATCTCACCAGTTGATTTTTTTGTGTGTTTCTAAGTCTCCACTCTGCCTTCTTGCTTAAGGAGAAAAGCAATTGGACATGTTCCTTCGGAGTTCCGTAAAGAATCAGAGCCCACTACAACAGATTTAATAACAGAATTTTAAATCTGGTTTTTAGGCAGCTGAGCCAGAGTGCCTCCCTAAAGAGTTAGGGGTGAAAATGCCATTTTTCTAAAATCAGATCTTTGTTTTCTAGATACAACTGAGGCTTATTAATCCACTGAAAAATTTAAGACGTCTTGGAATCAAAATGATAACTGACATCTTTTTGGATTGGGAGTCATATCCATTCAGAACAGAAGAAATTGATGCTGTGTTTCATGGTGCAGTTTGGCCCCAGGTAAACCTTAATTTCTGCATTCTGCTCAGGAGCCTTCTTTTGCTTCCTTTATTACTGCCTTTCTACCAACTAAGTGTACCACCCTGACAACTGTTTAGCTGGTCTCTTTTCCATCAATCTCTTTGTATTTCTGAAAGTTTTAGGATGGCTTTCTTTGCTTCAAGGAGCCCTAGTGGCAGGCTGGGCAGTTTGAACCCACTAGCTGCTCTGTGGGAGAAAGAGAAGGCTGGCTGCTCCCACAAAGATTTACAGCCTCAGGAACCCTATGTAGGGTCGCTATGAGTTGGAATCAAGTTAATGGCAGTGGGTTTGGGTTGGGGTCATCTTAGCTTCTGTACAACAGGTATCGTCAAGTCAATTTTGACTTATAGCCACCTCATGTAGCAAAGTAGAGTTACCCATCATGTTTTATAGGCGATAATCTCTATAAGAGCAGGTGTTCCCTGGTCTTTTCTCTGTGGAGCCAGTGGGTGTGTTCAAACCACCAACCCTCAGCTAGAAGCTGAGCACCTAACTGTGGTGCCACCAGGACACCTTTCTCTACTGCACCTAATCTTCTCTGTTATTGTTCCAATTTTAGTGTGTGTGCTGCCCGAAGCAAGCACTGGACTGCAAACCACAAGGTCTGGCAGTTCAAACCAACCAACTGTTCCTTGGAAACCCAGGGCCATTTTGAGTTGAAACTGACTCAGTGGCACTTGTAACAACTCTGCTCAGGAACTTGTGTCTTCAGTGCCTTGGCTTTTACCCTTGAGGCTGATTTGGATGATCTTGTCTCAAGCAAATGTAACAGTGTTTGTAGCACCTGACCTAGTTGAGAAGCTGGTGTTTTTTTGCTTCTTTTCTTGTTGAGTTTCTCTGTTGATGATAACTGGTGTCAGGACTGAAGGAGAGACTTGATTTTAGGAAGGATTGTTTCTGACTACTGGAGCACTCAGTCTGTTCCAGCATCTGAAACCTAAACCACTGGATTCTGCTGTTAGTTCCTTTCCAATGTCCGTAACTTAACGCATCATCTTGACCATTTTCCTGTGTGGATGTTATTTTCAGTTACTTCATTTTTCCTCCATGTGTCCCTTAAATGAATCTCCTCCCCTTTGACTTTTTTTTTTGACATGTTTCTGTGCTTGTTCTGCTGCTTGGTGGTTTTGATGCTTTTTTCCTACAATTCTGTACATGTTTATATTTTCTGCTCTGCTTGTGTTTTCTTTCCTAGATCAGCAGACTTGGATCTGAGAGCCAATACTCTCCTACTCCTCTACTGAAGCTAATTAGTGTCTGGAGCAGAAATTCAAGGTATAACTTCCCCCACACCCCACCCCTTTATAAAGAGTTTGTTGTTAGGTGTTATCGAATCTGTTCCGTCTCATACCGACTCCATGCACAACAGAAGGAAACACTGCCTGGCCCTGAGGGATCCTCACAATCGTTATGCTTGAGACCATTAATGCTGCTGTTTTGCTGGTCCATTTGGTGAGGATCTTTCTCAAGCATGATATCCTTCTCCGGGGCATGATTACATAATTGAAATGGGAAAGAAGTCTCACCATCCTCACTTCTAAGGCGCGCTCTGGCTGAACTTCTCCCAACACAAATTGGTTTCTTCTTCTGGCAGTCCGTCGTACTTTCAGTATTCTTTTCCAAAATCACAACTGAAGTGCATCAATTCTTCTACGGTCTTTCTTATTCACTCTCCAACTTTCATGTGTACATGAAGCTATTGAAAATACCATGATTTGGGTCAGGCGGGTACACCGTAGTTCTCAAACTGACATCTTTGCTCCTGAACACCTTAAAGAGGTCTTGTGCAGCACATTTGCCTAATGCAATATGTCCTTTGATTTCTTGACTGCTGTTGCCATGAGTGTTGATTGTGGATTCAAACAAAATGAAGTCCTTGACAACTTCAGTCTTTTCACCATTTATCATAATGATATTTGTTGGTCCTTTTGGGAGGATTTTTGTTTTGAGATGCAATCCATACTAAAGGTTCTGGTCTTGATCTTCGTCAGTAACTATTTTAAGTCCTCTTCTTTACACATTTCTTTATAATACTTGACTTTGTCATCTCAAGCAGCCCTTTGAGATTTTCTGTTCACCTCTTTTGCTTCCTCATTTCTTCTATTCACTTTAGCATATCTATCCTGGAGAGCAATTTTCAGAGTCTCCTCTGACATCCATTATGGTCTTTTCTTTCTTTCTTGTATTTTTAAAGTGGCCTTTTGCTCTCTTCCTGTATGATGTTCTGAATCCACAGCACTTCTGGCCTTCCATCATTAGTGTGTCATACACCAAATCTGTTTTTGAGATGGTCTCTAAATTCAGGTGGGATATGTTTAGTGTCATATTTAGGCTCTCAAGAACCTATTTAATTCTCTTCTGCTTCAGCCTGAACTTGGGTATGAACAAATGATGGTCAGTTCTACAGTCTGCCCTTGGCCTTGCTCTGATGATACTGAGCTTTTTCACTGTCTCCATAGAGAAGCCCAGTGGCTCCATACAATAATCACTGGACTGTGAACCACAAGGTCCGCTGTTCAAGCCCACCAGCTCTCCTGTGGGAGAAAGACAGGATTCTGCTCCTGCAAAGATTTAAAGCCTCAGAAGCCCTATACAGGGTCGCTATGGGTCAGAACTGACTCAGTAGCTCCTAGCAACACAACAACTTCCATCAGATACAATCAGTTTGATTCCTGTGTCTTCCATTTGGTGAGGCCCGTGTACATAGTTGTGTATTATGTTGTTTAAAAAAAGATATTTTCAATGAGTAAGGCATAGATCTTGCAATATTCTATCATGTGATCTCCAGCATCATTTCTATCATCAGGGCCCCAATTTCCAACTCCCAAACCTGCCTCCTTGTTTCTGACCTTCACATTCCAGTTATCCCTAGTTATCAATACATCTCGATTGCATATTTGATGAATTTCAAACTGAAGAAGTTGGTAGAATTCTTCAGTTTCATCCTCACAGGCTTTAGTGGTTAGTGCATACATTTGAGTAATGATATATTAACTGGTCTCTGTTGTGGTAGTGATGGTGGTTATGTGCCATGGTTTTGGTTCTGACTCATAGTGACCGAGTATAGGGCTTTTGGAGACTGTGATATTTACAGGAACAGAAAGTCTCATCTTTCCCCATGGAATGACTCGTAGTTTCTACTGCTGACCTTAAGGTTAGCAGCCTGACTCTTCTACACTACTAGAGCTCCTTGGTCTTTGTTGTAGGCGTATGAATAGTATCCTATCACAGATAGCATTATACTTTAAGATGGATCATGTAATGTACTTTTTGATGATGAATGAGACATCGTTCCTCTTCAATTTGTCATTTAAGCCATATATTTGATTCAAAATGGCCAATACCAGTCCATTTTAGCTCACAAATGCCTATTATGCATTCCATTTCATTTTTTATAATATCTAATTGTCCTAGAATTAAACTTCATACATTCAAGTTTATGATTACTAATGGATGTTTACAGCCGTCTCTCCGCATTTTGAATTGTGTCCCATCATCAAATGAAGGTTCTGAGAGCTTTTTTGAGTCCTTTAAATCTGAGGGAGGCCTCATAGAACAGCACTGTACCTGACAATATTCTGGTGCTATTCATAATGTTTTCCAACACTGTATCTGCTACTGGTAAGGTTTTCAGTGGCTAAACATTAAGAAGTAGTCTGCTGAAACCTGCCCACCTTGGGTGACCCTGCTCGTATTTATAATCCTGATGACATAGCTTCCAGCATCACAAGCCACCACAAAACGCCAGACAGGCGTGTGGTGTGTTGTAAGTCAATCTAGTTAAAATTAGACTTGTTGGGTGCCATCCACGTGTTTTCAACTCATAGCAACCCGTGTACCCAAGTATAAGTGCTCCTTAGGGCTTTCCGGGCCATAGTCTTTATGGAAGCGATTTGCCAGATCTTACTTTAGCAGAGCTTCTGAGTGGTTTCAAACCACTGACCTTTTGGGTAGCAACTGAGTGCTTAACCATTTTATGACCAGCACTCCTTTCAAAGTAGTCCATGGAGCTAATAATATAATCTATAGTCACTTTCAATGCAGTTAGAGAATATCATTGTTCTATGTCATTGTGTCAGTTCTGATTCACACTTAGGGTTTCCAGTAGCAGCTTGTGGGTTTGAATTGCCAGCCTTGTGGTTAGCAGTCCAGTGCTTATCCTACAGTGCCACACCAGAGCTCCATCCTTTTATGTTGTTGTTAAATGCGACCATGTATACGGTTTCCAAGGAGCACCTGGTTAGCTTGAACTGCTTACCTTGCAGTTCAAATGGCTTTGCAGTCTGGTGCATTAACCCACAGTCCCACACCAGGACTCCCCATCCTTGTATGTTGTTGTTTTTTATTTTTATGTTTTATTGTGAATTATGTGATAGTTTACATGGGAGAACATTAGCTTTACATTCATCCTGTCGTATATCGTTTCATTGCCATGGTTATAATCTCCTCCATGCATCAACCAACCAAAGGGTATATATACCCTGCAAGCCTGCCCCCAGTCGTCAGCACACAGCCCCTCTCCCTCTCTGGATCTAGAGTCCCCAACTGCTCCATCTCCCCACGTCACCATCTCTGCCTCCATCTCTGCCTCCATCACTGCTTCTCTGGGTAGGGACCCGCTCTCCACTCTTCTCAGTTGATGGTCCCTGGGCCCTCTGCTCCTAGATTACAAAGTCCACCACTTCTCTCCTTTTGCTGCAAAATATCTACCTTTACATTTCCAACCCTCATGGTCAGTTCTGGGAGCAATAATTCACTATTGTACCATAAGACACCAATTCCCATCTCCTTTCATCAGTTCTGCCTAGACAGATTGGATACTACTCAGTGGAGATTCTACCTTCCTCCGCACCTTCTGGATCTAGACTCCCTCTTGAAAGTTTATAAGCTAGTCACTTCTTGCCTTTGTAGGCACACCACACACACCACCCCCCCGCCGATTTTGGGTAGCCAGTTGTTGTTGTTGCTTTTAAGTACCATGGAGTTGGTTCCAACTCATAGTGACCCTGCACAGGATTCGCGAGTCTGTAAATCTTTACGGGAGCAGAAAGCCTCATCTTTCGCCCGTGAATGGCTGGTAGTTTAGAATTGCTGACCTTAAGGTTGGCAGCCTGACTTGTAGCCATTATGCTACGAGAGCTTCCATCTTTATGTAGTGCCAATCAGATATTGTAACGCTTTCTTCACCTACACAGAGGTCTGGAATTTTACTTTGTATTTGTATAAATGCAGATGCCAGTAGAGCTAGTCTTTGTCTTCTATCTTACAAAAGACTGACTTTTTAGTGTGATCGCACAAGCTATTATTGAAATTTTGATACTTTTGAGCATGAAAATAGGCTGTCAATAATGAAACCTGGACAAAATGATCTGGGACGATACCAGACCACTGTTTGAATAGCTGGTCTGGTTCTGCCATCATCTACCATCATCACCCTACATGGCTTGATCTCTTCTTGCAGCTCCTTCTTCCTGTCAGGAACGTACATTATTATACAAGTTACATTTTTCAAAAAAAAGTTTGGTGGTCACTTTGGGATTGCTCTTGATTTGAATTGCTGCCATTTTGCCAGTAATCGAAAATGGCTTTCACACCCTTCTGTTTGAAAATGTTTAAAGCAACATGCAGCACAGTTATTAAGAGCACAAACTGTAGCCACACAAGCCTGGCTTCCAATCTGGTCCCACTGTTTGTTTGGTAGAGTCGGCTTCTCTCAGTGTCAGATCCACCACGTGTAAAATGGGAACAGGAGCAGCTACTTTGTCAGAATTATATAAAGATATGTAGTGACTCCTGGTATGGCACTGTTTGATGAGACTCAACGACACTTACCAACAGTCATACTACACACAAACACATGCACATAAACGTGTGTCTGTTAAAATGCATCATAAAAATTCATGGGGAACATTTATAAGAAATAACAATATTCAGAAGTAAAAGGATTATTTCAATGTTTTTCTTGCAGATATTTCCCTTTTCTGGCTAAGCAGAAACCTGGGCATCCAGAGTGTGATATCTTGACCAATGTTTTTGCAATTCTCTCAGCAAAGAATCTCTCAGAAGCCACAGCTAGTATTGTGATGGAAATAGCTGATGACCTTCTTAACCTTCCAGATTTTGAACCCACAGAAACCGTCGTGAGCTTGCCAGTAACAGGATGTGTATACACTGACGTAGCAGAAGATGTAGCTGGTAGGTGTGTTTGTAAAAACCAAATGATTTTCTAGACTTCTGAGTTCCTACTTATTCCTTCTGAAAGGGAAAGGTCAACAGGTTAACTTCACTAGCCTGTGCACATAACTGTTCTTTTCTCTAGAAATGAACACTAATTTATATAAACTGGATTTTCTCTGAACTAGTTAGAATTCTGATACGGCAATGTGGATTAGTGTGTTGGGCTGCAAAGTCAATTTGAGTCGTAAGGTTGGCGGTTCGAGCTCATCAGCTGCTCCTAGGAGACCCTATACAGGGTTGCTATGGGTTGGAACCGATTCAACAGTACTTGACAAGAAGTCAGAATTCAGATCTACTTTTGGGGATGCTTCACCCATCCTCCAAGAAGTTGTCAAATGATTTCCAGTGCTGTGTCTCTGAGTTCTTCCTAGCATAACATTGCCTTTTCTGCTACCACTGCCACCTACTACCCACTACAGTCATTTCTGACTTAGGGACCCTATAGAATTGCTATAGGATGTCCTCTAGAACTGCTCCTTAGGATTTCTAAGACAATAAATCTTTATGGTAGCATTATGTTGTTGTTGGTTGTAAAGTGCCATTGAGGCAGTTCCGACCCATAGTGACCCTGGATAAGGTTTCTGAGGAGAGGTTGGTGAACTTGAGTGGTCGACCTTGCAGTTCAAACTGACTTTGCAGTCCAGTGCATTAAGACACAGCGCCATACCAGGACTCCGTGGTGTAGCGTACAGCCTCACCTATTTCCAGTGGAGCAGCGGTGAGTTGGCACTGCTTAACCTGCAATGCCACCAGGGCTCTTACAACTACCAAAATGGTTTTAAATGAAGTCTTAGGGGTTCTTCTTGAATACATTCTTCACTTGTTATTGTTGTTAAGTACCGTGGAGTCGGTTCTCACTCATAGCGACCCTGCACAGGGTTTCCGAGGCTGTAAATCTTTACAGGAGCAGAACGCCTCATCTTTCTCCCACGGAACCACTGGTAGTTTCGAACTGCCGACCTTGAGGTTAGCAGTCCAATTCGTAACCACTATGCTACCAGAGCTCCTTCACTTAATTAGTGATAATAAGCTTCACTTAACTAGTGATAATAGCTATTGTGATTAAGAAGAAAGTGATTTAATTTTCAGAGTTGAAATTTAGTAACATTTTCCTGTTACTTTTTTTGTCTGTCATGAAGAGATACGAGTACGTTTTAAGATTGTGGTTTAATAAAATCACAACAGTCATCATATCTATTCCAGAGTCCATAACGATAGGAGGAAGATTACTGCTACCTCATGTGCCTGTAATTCTTCAGTATCTCAGCAAAACTACAATAAGTGCAGAAAAAGTGAAAAAGAAAAAGAACAGGGCACAAGTCAGCAAGGAACTTGGCATTCTTTCAAAGTAAGTGACAGATTGTTACTTTAAAACAAAAATAACATGACCACCCCATGGTTTTAGTTTTTTTAAAAGTTGTAACTCATTTTTCCATTGTTTGAGCCTAGCTGAAGCTAAAAAGGTTTTTGTTATTTTACATGCCCCCCACTTTTAATGGAGAGTCTTATTTTTCTGCTTCAGTATTCAGTAGAAACCTTTTATAGCATTTGCTTTCATTTAATTATATTAGAAGGAACATACTTTGAAAATTCTTAAGTAGACTAATAGAATTCTTGTTTATTAGCCTTTGCAAATTTTGTTTAAAGTTATGAGTTGCATGAGACTCCATAATTTTTTATAATTTTTTTTTTTTTAGCTTAATAGAAACAATTAAAAAGAGCAGGTTGGTTAAATTTTTAAGTGTGAAGATCTTGCAAGGGATTTCAAAGAGTCTGTTTGGCAATAGATCCAGTAACGTTGCCTGGTGATGTCTCGAAAGGGCACGGCGGGTAATCCTGACTGCAAGAAATGACTCCAGCTTAAATTTTAATTGACTGGTTGACTTGGTTGGTGGGGGGGAAAAGATTTTTTATGCTATTTTCAGCAATAAGAAAAAAGATATATTAGAACCTTTACTGAAACTTTCTGCCAAGTCTTTTATACTGTTTTATGTCTAAGCTATCTAGAATAGGAAGCCACATGAAATGCACTCATTAAATTTCATCACAGGTTATGCGGTAGTGAAAAACTAATGAGTGATTGGGTGCCAGGAAGACCTGGGTTTAAGAGATCTGCTCTACCACTTAATAGCCATTTGACATCAATTTCTCTTGGTCTCCGGTTCCTCGGGAGCTAATAATAGCTTACACTGCAAGGATTATATGGAAATATTGTACCTAAAGCACTTAAGAAACAGTCTCAGCTCTTAGAAAAATGTTTTTTCCTTGCCCCCCCCCCAAAAAAAAATCAGATTGTAATGCTGTCATGTATAGCACTAAAGCAATATGAACCACTTCTACCATCAGATATTGCAAAAGAAATAAAAGTAGTAGCCGTAAGCCTAGTACTGGAGAGAAATAAGAGTAAGCACTGGCTGATACTGAGTTAGCTCTTTCTACATACTCATATACCTAAGACTTTGCCATTAGAACGTTCAAACTGTTCTTTAGTCCATAATTTTATTTTATAGTAAGTGTGATTTCTTAGGTAAATACTCTTCAATTACATATCTTCCTTACAAAACCATATTATTCCTTCTTTAGGATCAGCAAGTTTATGAAAGACAAAGAACAGAGTTCTGTACTTATTACACTTCTCCTTCCCTTTCTCCACCGAGCCAATATTCCTCAGGTACAAGGGCATTTACTTTGTCTTTGAAGTGGCACTTTATCACTGGGTCTATTTGTGTTTGTGAACAGTACTTTTACTATAAAACATTTGTCCCAAAGAACTTAAAGGGCATTTTACAGACATACGAAATTGGAAATGGAGAGGGGAAACGGGTCGAGATGGGTGTTTAGTCCTTTTATTTGTTTAGCTTCTAATTCATTTCTGGGTATGCTCATTGTTTTTTTCTGACTGTAATCAATAATAAATTTGGAATCCAAGAAATACATTACATCATCTTAAATATGGATCACAGTGGCAAAACTTGAATAAAAAGGCAAGCTTTTAATATTCAGAGGTAGCTAAGAGTTTGTGATAAACATTTCCAAATCCTAGCTTGGTTCTTCAGTAACACAAGCTCATTTAGAACACCTCAGTGGTTGCATGTCTTCTCACTTAGTAATTCAATTTAAAAGACCACAATCTGAAGACTACCGGAAGTGTGTTTTATTCTTTTCCAAGCTCATGTTGGTGGTGGTTTTTTAACTAGACAAAATTCTGTTTCAAAGCCACGTGTTGTGTCTGTTAGAATGAAAAGAAGAAACTGCTGTCAACATTGGCATGGGTTTTATGTTAAGTTAAAATGTGAAATACAAGACTATGAAATCATTGGGCATTTGGTACCATATCTTAACCATAATTGTTTTCTATGTTGTAATAAAGTTTTAGTTAACCAGTTTTATAAATAATTGAAATAATGATTTTTCTTCATTTTCCTTTTCAAGGAAACAGAGCTTGACATTCTGGTGACAGTGCAAAACTTGTTAAAGCATTGCTTGGACCCTCCAAGCTTCCTCAAGCCTCTAGCAAGACTGTTCTCAGTTATTAAGAACAAGTTGTCAAGACAGTTGCTTTGTGCAGTTTTCCAGGTCTGCAGTAATTACTTTGACCCCCAAATCATCCCTTTCCTTAGTAACTAACTTTAGCATATAAAACAAATTAGTAGCTTTCTTAGTGCTAGTAAAGTGTTTCTTTATGAATTTTGTGGGGGTAGGGAGGTGACAGGATGCCGTCAGAAAAATTAATGTTTTATTCATTAATAATACAGTTCTTTCTTTCTTTGTAGCATCTTTCTGATTTTGAGAGTGGATTGAAGTACATTACTGATGTTGTCAAGGTAAGAAAAAAAAATTTCTCTCTTTTGCTTCAAAGGTATTATCATTTACATTTCTTTAACATTTACACATCTTTAATTTCTTTGGTTGTAATGATATTTTTTGTAGCTTAACGCCTTTGATCAAAGACATCTTGATGACATCAATTTTGATGTTCGCTTCTCAACGTTCCAGACCATCACATCTTACATTAAAGAAATGCAAACCGTAGATGTGAATTTCCTAATTCCAGTTATGCATAATTGTTTCTATAATCTGGAGGTAAGTCTTTACAGGAAAAAAAAAAAAAAAAGAACTGTTTATTGTTTTGATAGTATAATTTCACAACTGAATTTCTACAAAGGTGTTTTAAATTTGTTTTTGAGGGAGTACAAGGGTTTTAGTACAAAACATGTTTTTTAGTTGTAGAATATGTTGTTTACAAAGATACTGTTTTTCTCATGATTTGAAAGACACGTTTTCCTAATAAAATATTGTTTGGGGAACGACTTTAAAGAGTCAAAAAGTGCCTCAGTGTATTTTAAAAAAAAAAAGAGCTACAGTGAATAGAGAGAAATAGTGCATGGAGGGGATTGTAATCCTTGTGATGAAACAAATCGTATGATTTGTTGAATGTAAACCTGATGACCTGCCCTGTAAACTTTCACTCAATCCACAATGAAAACTTAAAACAAAAAAAGAGCCAAAGAATTCTGTATAAGAATAGAAAGTAGTTAGAGGAGTGGTTGCCTGGGTACAATAAGCGAGGAACGGGAGGACTGCTAATGATGAAAATATTGTAAAACTGGGTAATGGAAATGGTTGTAGAGCCTTGTCGGTATTCTAACAACCACTGGTGTGAATACTTTAAAAAGGTGACGTTGATGGTATATGCATTTTATCTGGGCAAAATAGTTACATACCTGTCAGATTTTATTTGAAAGCTTGTCCTTTTTTATTAAAGATATGGTAGAAATAAAGGGATTTGGACTACTGTGTCATGTTGCTGAATTAAGACTGCAAACGGGAAAAAATAAAACCCAGGTCCTAGTGGTATCAGCAAGGAGCCCAGGTGGTGCTGTGGCTAGGCCTTTGTCTGCTAACTGCAAGGTTAGCAGCTGATGTCCAGCAGCTGCTCCTCGGGAGAAAGATGAGGCTGTGTGCTGTAAAGATGGAGAGTCTCGGAGAGTGTCAATTGACTCAGCACCATTGGGTCTGCTTTGGGTTCATGTCATCAGTAATTTAGGACGATTTACAATGATTCATCTGATGTTAAGGAGTTTGGAGTTCATTCTTCATAGAGTATGTTAAATTTCACCATAAAAGAATTCAAAATCACCCACCTGATTGGCTGAGTGGGTGACACCTTTGGTTCACTCACAACTCACCTTCCTCAACCCAGAAACTGGAGCTTCTACCCAGAAGTAGACACACCACCTGTCAAGTCATTTTCAGTGATGACCTGAAATGTGACTTTTGAAAACTCGTGTCTGTGACTCCTTTGTTGGCTTGCTTGGGCCACTAAAGCTAACGGAACATTTCGTAGCACGTTCTGAAATTCAGTGATACTTCTTAGTAAGCTTGGTTCCTCAGAATCCTATGTGACCTTACTCACAACCCTGGTGGTGGTGGTGGTGGTGGTGGTGGGCCATGGAGTTGATTCCGACTCATAGTGACCCTGCTTAGGGTTTCTGGGGCTGTAAATCTTTATAGGAGCAGAAAGCCTGATCTTTCTCCCATGGAACTGCTGGTAGTTTTGAACTGCTGACCTTGAGATTAGCAGCCGACTCATAACCACTACACTAGCAGAGCTCCTTACTCACAACCGTACAGAGATGTAAAGTAAACAAATCACTCTGAGTAGTGATTTGTCACAGAGCCGTGGGAAATGTTTTGTTAACACTCTCTCATGGGGAAACAATGCTGCATGTTCTTATGTCCAGTTAGGAGACATGTCTCTAAGTGATAACGCCAGTGTGTGCTTGATGAGTATCATCAAAAGGTTAGCCGCTCTGAACTTCACAGAGAAAGACTATCGAGAAATCGTTCATCGCTGTCTCCTGGAGGCACTGAGGAAAGGGTTGAGGAGCAAGACCGAGGTAATGGCATTTGCAGTTGTAAATTTGTCTTTAAAGTACTAATATGTGAGGGGTAGTTTCTTTTCTTTTTTTTCTGCTATTCCACTTTTTTTTTTTAATAGTCAGACTTAGTACATTAAAATACTTGATTTTGGAAATAAATATTCACCAAACTTTAATAGGGTAGTCTGAGTGGATAGGAAACACAATCACTTGATTTTATATAGTTGTTAGACTTTTTACAGTGCAACTATTGTAATTTTTAAAAACTAATGTCTTTAAATTTGGGTGTCTTACTATTATTGTTGTTGTTATTATCTAGGAAAGAAATTTAAAATTAAAAAAATATGTATTTTTTTTCTCTATTTGTTATTTACAGAGTATTCAACAGGATTACACCACACTGCTTTCCTGTTTAATTCAAACCTTTCCAGACCAACCGGAATTTAAAGACTTGGTACAGCTTACTGATTACCACGATCCAGAAATGGACTTCTTTGAGAACATGAAGCATATCCAGGTAAAACACAGTTCTACTTTCTTCCCGCCAGGCATTTCAACCAATTCTGCCTATTTAAAAAGGAGTCTTGGTGTGGCACTATAGGATAAACACTGGACTGCTAACCACTAAGTCAGCAGTTCAAACCCCAGCCGCTCCTCAGAAACCCTGTACAGAGTCATTCTGAGTTGGTACCCACTTAATGGGACAGCATTTTAACTTACAAAAAAGTCTATAGCCTCTTATATCAGGGTCTATAAGATGATCACCTCCTGGGTCCAGATTTCTTCGGTGGTATCACAAGCCATAATTAATCATGGTGTCACACTTCTTTGCCTTTTCCTGAAAAGTGTAAATGCTTTAGAATCCATCATTATACAAATGCCATGGATTATGTCTCTGGAAGCAAACCATCATACAGGTGTTTGCTCATGTAACACTTGGACTGTGTTTTATTTCATCTTTTATGGAAGGAGAGCATGTGCTGAAATGCAGCTGGTTGTAGATGGGGTTTTTTCAGTAATCATATTTTGTGTAACTCATAGATTCACAGAAGAGCAAGATCCATGAAGAAACTGGCAAATCAACTAATGGAAGGCAAAATTGTGCTGTCTTCTAAATCTCTTCAAAACTATATCCTGCCATATGCCATGACTCCAATTTTTGATGAGAAAATGCTCAAGGTAGGACATTGAATCTGGACACCAGCAAACTTCTCCTCGCACCAGGGGAAACCCTTTTCCACAGTGTAGCTGGGGTTGGTGTCATCCATGCGGATGCTGTCGCAGTAATCAGAGGCTTTGAATAGCTCAGTATCCCTTAGAAGTGGTCCCCATATGTATATGCTATATAAATGGTGGCTGTTATATGGAGTCCTGGGGTGGCACTGTGGGTTAATGTGCTGGACAGTAAGGTCAGTTTGAACCGCAAGATTAGTTTTTCAAACTCGCCAACCACTCCTTGGAAGTCCTATACAGGGTCACTATGAGTCAGAACCATTTCGATGGCACTTAACAACACATTTATATATAAATAATCATGGTGTAACACTGCAGGATAATGCACTGGCCTGCAAGGTCGGTGGTTCAAACACACTAGTCACTCTTTAGAAACCCTATATAGGGTTGCTATGAGTCAGAAACCACCAAAAGCACTTAACGACAATTATTTATAAATGTTGACTGTTAGTAGTAGTATTATTACTGACTCACAAAAGGCTAGCCACAAAGTATTTTCTCTCTCAGAAATGATCACATTACTAAGAAGGCTTACTTTAATTAGTATATCACAGGACTTCTGATAATCTCCACTAACCAGCAGGATCACTGCATAGTCTTCATCCTTACAACAGCCCAACCTTCTAGGCTAGCACCTGATCTTACTTATGAGACAGTAAACTGAGAGTTAGTGAAGTTCTGTAGCTTTTTCAAAGACACGCCGAATCAGAGCTGGGATTGGAACGCAGAGCTCTCTTAACCCTTACTTGGCATATGGTAAAGACTAGATAAATATTTATTGATTAAATAGCTGAATGTGAAAGGCCATGTTAAAAGATCACAGAAATTGAACTCTTAATTGTAATATCAGGGCTTATGACTTAAATTTATGTTGTGATTACATGACCTTGTACAATGGTAGGTTTCCTGTGTTATTTCAAGATATTAAAAAATATATATTTAAAAGAATGATCTAAGTGAGTAAAAGACTGTTCTGTAAAATTCCAGTTTAAAAAGCCAGTAATTTCAACCAGTTTAGGATTTGTGATACAAGTGTAATTGTTGTTGTTGTTAAGTGCCGTGGAGTACCCTATGTGGGATTTCTGAGGAGCAGCTGGTGAGCTTGACTCACCAACCTTGCAGTTCAAACCGTTTTGCAGTTCAGTGCATTAACCTCCAGCACCCCACCAGGACTCCATTGTTAATGCCAGTTGGTATTTGTTGTCAAGTCGATTCCAGCTCATGGGGTTAGGCAAAGACGAGTATGGTTCGAGCAATCTCTCTTTCCTTTCTGTAACTGCTGTTCACCTACTGCTCTGTATTTCTCAGCAAATACGTGTGCTGTGCTGATGCTCTTGGTTTGTTTTGCAGCATGAAAATATAACCATTGCTGCCACTGAGGTGATTGGAGCTGTGTGTAAGCATCTCTCTTGGTCAGCTTACATATATTACTTGAAACATTTCATTCACGTCTTATGTACAGGACAGATCAATCAAAAGTTGGGTGTCAGGTATGGTCAAACTTCTTAATTTTGTTTTATTTACATTTGAAAATCGAATTTTAAAATTATTCTCTGGCTGAATATTTTTACAATCTCAATTTATTTTGACCCTGTATGAGTGAAGCTATGGTTATGCCTGTTACAGTAAAAAAAAAATACCTAGAAGTGATCCTTTTTAATGTCTGTAAGTCTTTAAATTCTCTGAATGGAGTTCTGTCCTTTCTGTAGTCACATTGTATTATTAATCAAATGAGCATTTCTGTTTTAACAGTTTGCTGGTAATAGTATTAGAAGCATTCCACTTTGACTACAAAACTCTTGAAGAACAAATGGGGAAAATTCAGAATGAAGAAAGTAAGTTTTTAAAACTAGATTACCCTCTTCTTGGATAATTTGTGTTCTTGAGTTAAAGATGGCAAAATTCAACTTATTCCCTTTTCTGCTCTTATAGCACTGGCCATGAATGAGTCAAAAGAATAGTTTGAATATTCTTATATTCAAATTACTTAACTTATATTCGAATTTAACTAGCAAGAAGGCCAGTATAAATTGTATTTGTGAAAAAAGATCTGTACTGTCGTTTATTTACATAGAAATCCTAAAATTGGATTTTGGATTTCTGTGTAAATAATTAATTAACTATTACATCAGTGTAAAGAATGTGAAGAAGGAGTCCTGGTGTGGTGCTGTGGGTTAATGAACCGGACTGCCAGGTCGCTTTGAACTGCAGGGTCAGCGGTTCAAGCTCACCAGTTGCTCTGCGGAAGCCCTATACAGGGTCACTGTGAGTTGGAACTGACTCGGTGACACTTAACAACAGCAGCAGTAATCTGGGTGTTACACGTTTCACTGGTTTAAGAGACAACTTGTGTAACTCCGCACCGTCTATAAAGCATAAAAATCAGCCTCCATTGTGCCAGTCCTACTGAGGCTGGTGTCACACTGTCAAAGCTGAACTATGCTAGCTAGGGATTTTTAGGAACTAGATCTACAGATCTTTCTTTCAAGGCATCATCCTTTAGTGAGGGTGGTCTTACATTCCAGCCTTTGGTTAGTAGCTGAACATACTAACTATTCGTACCTCCCAGGGACTCCAGTATGAGACTTAACTATGATCTAGTCTTGCATTCTGCCCAGCAAAGATGTCAGATAAGATACCTTACCTGCAAAGGTTGCATCTAAGTGTCTAAAACACTAGGGAAGTCTGTAGAAACAAGAACTTCTTGCCTTAGTTGGAATAGACTTCTGTCACCTCTGTGATTCCATACTCCCAGGATGGCTGACATCAGGTCTGCCTGGACTGGAAGTATGTTCCAGGTGCTCCATCTTAAAAGCCGTCTTTTAGCGCTAAGTCACTCCCATTCCTCATCCACCTTTTCTCCTGCATTTCTCTCCATAATTACTTCTTTACCAATTATTTCAGATATTGGCCAAGTAATGTAAGTGAATATCTCAATTAAAATGCAACCAAGAGCCCTCATCTTCTAGTTACCGACATTGTCCTAAATTAATCAGCATCTCAGAGCTGAACTAACTAACCCAGCGTGGAGCTCTGTCCTTGAGAATGAGGATAAAGGCACATCACTGAATTACAGTTCTAGTTGATGTTACATCAAGAGTTTTCCTTTTCTAGTTGTCGGTTCTGTGTGTTAGTAAAAGTTGATCGACACACAAAAAATGAGATTGCAGATCAAAGACAATTGTGTTTTGAAGAAAAAAGAAATTCATTGACAAGACTAGGAAGTATTAAACATTGATTGAACACATGCTCTGCGTTGGGCTTATGTAGATAGCTCATTCATCCTCTTAAAAACTTTAACTCATGTTTTTATTATAGGAAACTTAAGTTTCAGAGAAGTAAACTTTCCTGAAGCTGCACAGCCAGAAAACAAAATAAACTAATAGCTCTCGTTTCTGTAAGGCACAGTTATCCCAGTTAATTCTTCAGTTGCCTTGCAAGGCAGATGCCTCTCCACTTTATAGGTAAAGAATGTGAAATTGGTAACAATGCTTGTAAGCAAGTCTGGACTTGCTCAACTATCTATACTGCACTACCTGATTGTCATTAATAAGCTGAATCTTAGAATAAAGGAGATTTCTATGTAAGAACTGTTGGCTGTCATTATAATTTCCATGCCCATGAAAAGAGCACAAAACCTTGTCTCTAAGCACAGGACTTTGAAGCTTTCTGTCATTTGGGACCCTACATCCCTCCCCTGGAGTGCTCCCATACCTACCTAGTACCTTGGACTTGCTCAGACCATTCTTTTATCATTGCCAATTTACTCATCTGCCCTCATTGAAAGAGTTCTGGTGTAGCGCTGTAGGATAAGCACTGGACTGTTTACCAAAAAGCTGGTGATTCGAGCCCACCAGCCGCTCCTCGGAAACCCTATACAGGGTCACTGTAAGTTGGAGCTGACTCAACATCACTTACCAACAACAATCCTCATTAGAGGAGCACTGGTGGGGCTGTGGGTTACACATTGAACTACTGTAACACAAATGAGGTCAACAGTTCAAACCCAGTAGCTGTTTCCACAGGGGAGAGGTGAAGTTGCCTGTTACCTTAAAGGTTGACAGTCTCAGAACCCCAAGGAGCAGGTCTCCTTTGTCCTTTAGGGTCACTGTAGTTGGAGTTGACTTGACGACAGTGGGTTTGATGGAGCCTCATTGCCTACCTCACAGAGCAAAATTCCTACCTTCTCATTGACTTCCGTTTCTTCAGCAGATACAGTGCTTGCCCGTAGTTGGTGGTTAGATTTTGTCTTTAATGGGATGTCAGAAGTTAGTGGGAGACACTACTGAACACAGTATTTTTTCCTTATTTGGTTTAAGGTGACTTTTGTTCTTTACTAAACATAGACACAATAGAAGTGATTGAGGTACCAGAGCATGAAGTCATGGAATTGGAAGAAGGAGGAAAGGAGGGAGGAGAAGAGAAGGAAAATGGATGTAAGAATCTATCAAACGACAAGGAAGAAGCAGCGTTAGCCACAAAGTCCTTATCCTGCCTTCCTCAGAATAAAGAGGAATTGGAAAGAACAATTAAAAATATCCAAGGAACCATAATGGGAGATATTCTACCCAAGCTACACAAATGTCTGGCATCAACGGTAATCATTATGCCTGGGTCCCCAGGGAGGGTCTGTGTGAGCTCGGGTTTGGTTGGAGCCCTTTCGGCCTTATAACCTGCTACTCATTGGCACTTTAGCTTTTGGATTTCCCTTTACCTGAGTATTTCACTGTGCATCTCCCCTCTCTTGCATCATCAACCTCAGCCTCGTCTGCTGCAGCCTGGCAGTAATACTCCTGCTTCATTATAATTTGTTGTGGTTGATAGATGGTTTTCTAGCTCCAAAGTACAAGCACGGTGGTTCCATATCCAATAAGCACTAGACTTGGAACCACAAGATCTGCAGTTTGAGTCCACCAGCCACTCCATGGGAGAAAGGTGAGGCTCTGTGCTCCCACGAAAATGTAAAGCCTTGGAAACCGTATACGGGGTCGCTATGAGTCGGCACTTAATAGTAAGAACAGCAATCCCTGTAGAGAAAGTAGATGTTAAAGTGACTCCCATCTCTAAAACAGGCCATTAAAAATTACAGTATCTTTCTTTTTCTGTGTCAGAATTCATCTTTCCCTGGGTTAACAGGGATAACATTTTAACAACACATTCTCATATATCCAGAGCCTTTTTCTTTTCTGTGAGCTGAATCTAGCCCATGGATTGCTTTATAAATACGTTTTATTGGTATACAGCTTGCGTGTTTATTCAAGGAGACTTCAAAAAGTTCGTGGGAAAATAGAATTTGTGTATTTCTTGTATATCAACAAATAAATCATTTGTTCTTTGGGACAAAATGTATGTCACTGAAACATTGATGTCCCAAATTGATACAAATGTTACATACTTTGTAAATATTTAGTATCAATCTTGGTCACACCAGTGAAAGATAGCTTTGTTTTTTTTCTAGTTGTTCCTTTTTAAAATAGAACATTCTTATTGATACCATTTTTATAATCTTTATACAGTTCTTACATTGTTTGATTTTAGTTGCTGGTTACAGATATTTAACTTAGAAATGTGCTAAGGAAACATTAAAAAAGCTCTTTCCAGTGGAAGGAGCCACTGTTGGGAGGTCCATCAAATACTACTTTTTCTTTTGGTTTAACTGAAACCTTTCTTACAGACCAAAAGAGAAGAAGAGCACAAGCTGATCAAGTCAAAGGTGGTGAATGATGAGGAAGTGGTTCGCGTTCCATTAGCTTTTGCCATGGTTAAGCTAATGCAGTCTCTTCCACAAGAAGTGATGGAAACAAATCTTCCAAGGTATGTCAGACAAGTTCAGTGAAACTCAGTTCGTTCTTCATAAAGCTCCTTTGTTAGGAAGAGGGTCACTATTGCTGTGGTTTAGAATCCTGAGTAGGAAATTTGGATTGTGAATAATTGAGTGATAAAGGGATATGTATGTTTTTATTTGTGTCTGTTTATCTGATTAATCGCGGTTTCAATTCCCCAGTATTCTGCTGAAAGTGTGTGCCCTTCTCAAGAATAGAGCACAGGAAATCAGGGACATTGCACGCAGCACTCTCACAAAGATTCTCGAGGATCTGGGTGTGCACTACCTCCAGTATATTTTAAAGGAGTTGCAGACGACGCTTGTCCGTGGCTACCAGGTATGATGTTTAAGATCTTTATAGACCTGGTTTACACAACTTGTCTTTGTTTCTCAAAAATCACTGTATATCATGTTTTGTGTTTTCTTTTTAATAAAATCCTTATTGAGTCTGTTGCCTGTAGTGTCCCACTGTGAATAATTACAAACATACACACATTAATGTTGTTTTAAGAGCTGGAAACCTAACTGTAATAAGAATGAATGCAAGGTGGAATATCAAATACCTCGAAGTTGCCTGATATCTAGCTCCTTGCTGAGATCCCAGCACCAGAAGCATCTAACAGGGAGCTTGTTACTAATGCAGACTCTCAAGCCCTGCAGCTGACCTACAGAATTTGAATCTGCATTTTAGTAAGGTCCCCAAATGATTTAAAGTGTGGGAAACACTGCAGCTGGTTCTTTTACCCAGCCAAGACTCGATGGTAGTTAGCTTTATTCCTTAGGTCCCGATTTGTTGAAAGGTAAGGTTTCTTTTCTATAGGTTATAAGGTTAATACATTGAATCTGTCAGTAACATCTTGACTATATCTGTTTGTTTAATTCTTTTTGTGTTGGTCTAGGGTTGACCATATATACGTGACTTCTCTAAGTCTATTTAGAATCAGTATTGTACCACTTCAAGTGAAATGTAGAAATCTTACCTCCATATAGATCCTTGTGTTGTAATTGCTTTAATACAGAACATCTCCATTTACAGAAACTTACATGAGGCAGTATTATTAAGTTTTAACTGTCGAACATTTTAAAGAGCTCAAGAGGGGAAACAGGTCTTTGTCTTATCCAGCTATGTACCATTTCTATAGCTCTTCTTTCATTCCTGGTGTCCAAGTTTCTTTCCAGCATTACTTCTCTTCCATATGAAGAACTTTCTATAGCCGTCTTGTAGAGCAATTCTGAATTACTGGTGGGGAGCTATAGGGTAAGTATGGAACTGCTAACCACAAGGTCAGCTGTTCAGACCCACCAGACGTTTCTCGGAAACCCTATACAGGATGGCTGTGAGTTGCAAATGATTCACTAGCACTTACCAATGACAAGAGCATCTCGCAGTAGATTCTCTTAGTTTTCCTTCATCTGTCTGCATTTCACCTTCCTTCCTGAGGCTATTTGTTCACTGGTTATAAGAATTTTTCTGTTGACGCTTCTTTGCTTTCAGTGCTTTAAGAATGTTGTACTACTGCTCTCTGGCCTTGTGATGAGTACTCCAGTCATTAGAATTGCTGTTCCCCTCTAGATAATGGGTTGATACTTTCTTTTCCTTTTTGGTACTTCAGTGAAATGAACATTAGACCTTCATTACTATTCCATAGGTCACTGAGGCTTTGTTTTGTTTTGTGTTTCCTTCCTCTCTGTTGTTTAGACCTAATGATTTCTATTGATCTTTCATCAGTTCATTGGCCTCCTCCCTTTTTCAGTCTCCATTCTGCTGTTGAGCCCATCCCGTGACTTTCTCATTCCAGTTGTGGTTTTCAGGTCTAAAATTTTCATTTGGTTATGTTTTACACATTTATTTGTTGATACTTCGGATTATACCATTTGTTTTAGTCCTCCATTTAGAAAACTGAAGCTTTACTTCTTCCCTGTACACCATACAATTCTTGTACCTGGGGTCAAGTGCGGGGGAGACAGAGAAAGAGAAAAAAGACAAGGGTTGGCTCACCCTCTAGGAGCTGCACTTCCACTGGATAGAGAGCAGAAGCTTCCCCTCCCCCAGTTTTGGTTCCTGCCACCACCCACTACCAGGCTGGGGGCTGGGGTACAGGAGAATGAAGAAAAGAAAGAGGAAAAAGCCCCAGGGGATTTCTCCACTCTCTGGAGCATTATATGTTCCCCTTTCCTGATCTTTGTGCCAGAATCAAAGACGACTCCTTATTTGTGTCTTCCATGTGGGCTGTAGAATGCCAGAGAGAAAAATGGTAAACTCCTGGGTAGTTGAGTTAGTGCTCTCTGGTGTTCATTGCCAATATACCCACTACTTCTTGCCATTAGAGCTGCTTCATGCATCTGATCCAGTGTTTACAGCCACATTCAGAAGGAGAGATGGGAAGGAGTAGACTGTCTCCATCTTACCTGGAACCAGAGCCCCTATCAGCATGTTTTTAGTCTGTTCTCTTGACCACTTTGATTACTTCTTTTGTTTCTATGTCATGGCTACTTAGTGCCAGGTGATGTGCTGAGCACTGGGCTTGCAATGTGAGCACAGACTTCGCTGTCCTGAAGGATTCAGATCACAATCCAGCACTCATCCAATAGCACCACCAGGGGGCTTCGAAAGATGGCATGAAAAGACGGTGGAATTTTTCCACAAATTTTGTGAAGCCCACTCATATAACACCAATTCTCTGAAGCCCCCTCACACAGCAACTACGAGGTTTGGTGATGGTTAAATGCAGTGATACAAGTGAAGTATTAGGACTGTGCCTTAGCTCATCATAAGCGCTCAGTAAATGTGAGCTAAGGGTATCATTGAGGCACAGAAATGTATGCTCCATAACACTATATTCCAGCAGTAATTGCATTCGACATTGCCAAAATTCTTAATTCGCAAGTTTTTATAAATCACTGGCCCAGTTTCCTGTAACAATAGTGCCTAAGCATGGTAATGTCTTTCTAAGCATCTTTCATTCAAAGTGATTGGTTAGCTGAAGGATTTTAGATAACAATACAAATATGTGTCATTTATCCAAGTTTCTCCTCTCAGTGGCTTTGCAATATTCCTTACTGATCTTGTGATGTTTTCTGAGTATGGTATTCATAACCATTCATATTCTTACTATGACTTCTTATTATTGACTTCTAGGTCCATGTGCTAACTTTTACTGTTTACACGTTGCTGCAAGGCCTCACTAACAAGCTACAAGTTGGGGATTTGGACTCCTGTATAGATATAATGATTCAGGTAAGACGTAAAGGAGAGTGGACAAAGGACACAGACGTGCAAAATCAGTTCACAAATAAGAAATGAATAATAGCCTATGAAAATGAAAACAACATACTATCTCATCTTAGGTTAGCAAAGACTTAAAACCCTAAGTTCCAGGCTATCCAGTCAGTGTTAGTGGGGCACAAGTTCTTGGAGTGAAATCTACCAGCATAGCCATCTCTGGCATTATGTATCACGAGCTTTTAAAATGAGCAAAACTTTTCAACCATCTCCAAGAATCTATTCTATAGACCAGAGCACATGCAATAAGCTCCACATGATCAACACTGGCCTGCAAACCACAAGGTCTACAGTTCGAGCCCACCAGCCACTCCATGGTGGAAAGAATGAGACTTTCTGTTCCCGCAAAGATTTTAAAAGTTTTAGAAACCCTACACAAGGTCACTATGAGTCAGAACCAACTCAATGGCACTTAACAACAACAACTCTATAGACGTTATCAGAACCAGGAGTGGGGCAGGGGGTGGGAGAGCCATTGTTGAGGAAGTAGTTAGTGTTTGTCTTTAGTGATGGGAAATTTGAATTGTAGTTAACAAAACGTGAATAATACACTGATATCACTAAATTATATACCTGGAAAATGTTGATTTGGCAAATGATTTATAATAGCAGAAAATAATATTTAAAAGTAGTAATTTGTTGTTGTTAAGAGCCTTTGAATAGGTTAAATTTGATAACATGATGAATTAAAGAGTGATAACAATTAGGAATTTCAGTAAGTTGCAAATATCATGATAACTTCTTAAAAGTAAATTAAACTACCTTTTGGTAGTATCAGGAAAGAAGTATCTGTCCTTAAGCAATTCAGTTCTTTATATAAATCTATGGGGAGTTTGTTAAATAACAAGCTAACTATACTAACAGGAAATCCTGTTAGTATGAAACTTTTCAGATGCTTTTATATTATATCGGAAACCCTTTACAGGGTCGCTATGGGTCGGAACCGACTCGACAGCACTTAACAACAACAACAACAACAATATATATATATATATATATA